TGCCAGTTTCCTTCTCATCACTCCTGCATGATCAGGTCGTCTTCTTCGATGTGCAACATTTTTCTTACTTCTAAGTTGGTCACGCTGTGGGTCCAGCTTAGATGCAGCAGTAGCCTTCTGTAGCAATGCGTTTCGAGAACCAATATCTTATCTCTGTCAGTCTTTTTTGCGATGATTCCATACTTTTTTACAATCGGTCAGATCGCGTAAATATGTGTCGTTAACCCACCACCACCCGACACAACCAATTCGTAAGGTCTGGCAAATCGCCTGATGAAGCTGGTCGTAGTCACCAAGGAAACGTCGTAGTCAAATTGTAAATGGGTGTGGGCTTGCTCTCCAACACGCCGGTGTGCTGAAGTAGGAACTAACTGGCACGTTTTGTTTACGTGGCAAGCCCTTACGAATTATCTGCGTCGGGTGATATTACAGTATCCAAGTATTCATCAAACTCAATCTTCTCCTCACTCTATCACTTACTTTCTGGCCTCTCCCTCCACTGTGTAGAATGACCAGTGCCGGATGATCCTAGTAGCACAAGTAGCTACGTATGTAGCCACGGGCTCCGCACTTTCAAGGACCCCGCGCTAAATGCTTTCAAGCTATCAATTCCGGTTCAGTGATTCTACACTTGCTCTATTACTATAGTACTATACCGCCTTCAACTGTTATGAACGGCTGGGTGTTAAAGGTTAGCGATTTGTCGTATCATCTGTCTGTTTAGCAAATAAAAAAATACAATTACTTTACTATGAAAGTTAGAAAATGTACGTGTTTTAATATTTAAGTGTTTGTTTTAATTCAGGGCCCATTTACAACATATGCTACAGGCCCCGCACTAGCTTAATCCGACACTGAGAATGGCCACTGAGTGAAATGTCGCTCGTTACGTAACGTGCCCCCCCCCCCCCCCCCCATTCACAGGAGGCGCGTTATCGACGGGCACGTCGACTTTGGCTCTCCGTCCCGAGCACGGGTACACATAGTCCGCCCGAGTATCGCACGGACGCATCTGCTGCTGTTGACTTTGCGCGCTCGCTCGTTGCGTTTGCGAGTGGATTGTGTCTACCCCCGGGGTCAGAACTCGAGGGAGCAGGATTAAGAGTCTCATTGACAAGCACTGACCTGGCTCACCAAATTGACAAAGGCAAAACACGTCGGAGTATAAAGTACGCGGACGCGGGGCGATGAAAGTGACGAGGAATTGGCACAAAAAAGCAACCGCGTCACCTGTGAGATCGACGTGCGCGCGCGTGTGTGGAGTGGTGGGAAGGGCGAGAAATGAATGCGAAATAGAATCGAATCGTACGGCTCCCTTGCGCCGGGGAGCGGTAAGCGGAGCGGTAAGCGGAGCGGTAAGCGCGCTGCGCTAAGAACTCGGGAGACCAAGATCGATTCCCGCACATGGGAATCGATCAGTGACGATTATCTGAATCGGTCCTGGGCCTCCCCTAGGTCGACTCAACCATAAATAAGTACCTGATGCCGTGTGTAAACTTCGCCACGAGGGAGACAAATGCGGCCGGGCGTGATGCTGGCCACTCTCCCCCTCGTGTGCTGTGCCGGCCTTCATAGGTGCTCGCAGAACAGCCTTTCCCCAACAGTCTGTAAAGGCTACACGGGAGAACTTTGTTTTTGTGTGGAGTGGTGGTACGGCTCCCTTGCGCTGTGAAGCCAGTTCGATTCCCGGCTACGGCTGACATCAGTGTCCTGGACCTCCACTAGGTCGACTCAGCCTTAAAATGGTACCCCGTGCGGTTTGGCGATCACGGCCCGTGCCGTGCCTGACATGCGCTCGCTAACAGCGCTTGCGCCAACAGCCCATTTTGGCTACACGGGGGACCTTTGTCTTTGTAAATACACAGCGTAGCGTAATATCCCACGGGAGGACTCATCATCACTTGACGAGGTGAATCGTTGTGGAGATTGATTGATTGCATGACCGCGTAAGATCATCAGATGTAACACCACACGCTCCGGGGAATAGCACCCTCCCCACCTCCCCCACCCCAGAGAAACCCCCTGTTCACCCCCTGTTCATCCCCTGTTCACCTGTTGTACACCCCCTGTTCACCCCCTGTTCATCCCTTGTTCACCTGTTGTACACCCCCTGTTCACCCCCTGTTCACCCCCTGTTCACCTGTTGTACACCCCCTGTTCACCCCCTGTTCATCCCTTGTTCACCCCTTGTTCACCTTTTGTACACCCCTTGTTCACCCCCTGTTCAACTCTTGATTCACCCCCTGTTCACCCCCTGTTCACCCCCTGTTCACCCCCTGTTCATCCCCTGTTCATCCCCTTGTTCACCCCCTGTTCACGCCCTGTTCAACTCTTGATTCACCGCCTGTTCACCATCTGTTCACCCCTTGTTCACCCCCTGTTCACCCCCTGTTCACCCCCTGTTCATCCCCTGTTCATCTCCTGTTCACCCCCTGTTCACCCCCTGTTCACCCCCTGTTCATCCCCTGTTCACCCCCTGTTCACCCTCTGTTCACCCCTTGTTCACTTCCTGTTCATCTCCTGTCCATCTTCTGTTCATCCCCTGTTCACCCCCTGTTCATCCCCTGTTCGCCCTTGTTCGCCCCCTGTTCACTGCCTGTTCATCTCCTGTCCATCCCCTGTTCATCCCCTGTTCATCCCCTGTTCATCCCCTGTTCACCACCTGTTAATCTCCTGTTCACCCCCTGTTTATCCCCTGTTCACCCCCTTTTCACCCCCTGTTCACCCCTTGTTCTCTTCCTGTTCATCTCCTGTCCATCCCCTGTTCACCCCCTGTTCATCCCCTGTTCATCCCTTGTTCACCCCTTATTCATCCTCTGTTCATGCCCTGTTCACCCCCATACGAGGATCATACATCACCCGCAAATGAGCCCGGTCTCATCAGATCGCGGAAGCTAAGTGGGACTTGAGCCTGGTTCGATCTCGGATGGGCGACCACCAACTAGAATCCAGCTCGTGATGCGCAGCTGCAGGGATTTATGGATCCATATACCAGCAGAACACCGGTCTAAGTCACCACACTCACAGATTATTAGTATTATTGGCTTTCCGGATGCAAATTATTCAATATCATTTGTTTAAGGAAACCCAAGCCCCGATTCTGACGTTCTGGGTCTCATCAGCAGATGCTGCTGCGTCACCAGATGCGATTGGTAACAGCACATATATTGCCTCTGCATAACAGGTTGTTATAGGTCCTACGAATCTCGCCTGGTATGCAGCAACAAGTCGTGGGTTCGATCCCTACCCAGACGTCTTCTGTATGTTTGGAGTTTGCGGTGTGTCTCTCCCCGTCGTCGCGTGGATTTTTCTCTGGTTCCTCCGTTTTTTCCCCTCTACATCTATAAACGCGCGTTTAGAATATTTGGCAGCTTTAAATTTCCACGTAATAAGCCACTTCGTTGAGCTATCATTTGTGGCCAGGTCGCTTGTGAAAAAATGTCTATGTAGCGCAGCACACCCGACCTGGTAAAATGAAAAAAAGTTTAGTTTATAGTTTCCAGGTTGTGGGCAGCAGAGGACAGTCCAGCAACATTCATGGTTGGACTGTACGTCTATGCTGCCCGCCTTTACCAACGCAACATGACCGAACCAGCGTGGTGATTTATGGTCAAATAACCCCGACGACTCTCACGGCGTAGAGAGGCCCTCACCCTGTAGTGGACTGACACATTGGGCCGTACGCGTAGATGTACAGTACTGGAGTCCACGACTACCGCCACCACCATCGCGTGTATCCACCAGTGGTGGCTGCAGTTGGCCCTTCCAAGCAACACGTGCACTGCTTGATATGCATTGCAGTATCTCCGTGAGGTCTCTATGTGACTCTGTGGGTCTCTATGTGAGTCAGTGGGTTTCTATCTGAATCTGTGGGTTTCTATCTGATTCTATGGGTCTCTACGCGAGTCTGTGGGTTTCTATGTGAATCTGTGGGGTTCTATCTGATTCTATGGGTCTCTACGCGAGTATGTGGGTTTCTATGTGAATCTGTGGGTTTCTATCTGATTCTATGGGCGTCTACGCGAGTCTGTAGCTTTCTATGTGAATCTGTGGGTTTCTATCTGATTCTATGGGTCTCTACGCGAATATGTGGGTTTCTATGTGAACCTGTGGGTTTCTATCTGATTCTATGTGCGTCTACGCGAGTCTGTAGGTTTCTATGTGAATCTGTGGGGTTCTATCTGATTCTATGGGTCTCTACGCGAGTCTGTGGGTTTATATGGGAATCTGTGGGTCTCTATGTGAATCTGTGGATTTCTATCTGATTCTATGGGTCTCTATGCGAGTCTGTGGGTTTCTATGGGAATCTGTGGGTCTCTATGCGAGTCTATGAGTCTCTAGTACTGATGATGAAGCCAGCACCGAGACGCGTCATCTCCTGAGCCGAGAAATCCCGACACGGAATTTGCTGCCTCCTCAACCTGGAGCCACGTACCACCACTGCTCGGTACTAATTTAAGGCTAAGTCGACCTGGAGGGAACCCACGACTGGTTCCACAGATACAGACACCAATCACTGCTAGTGGGCACCACGGAAGGGGCTTGAACCCTGGACACGGGAATCGCAGGTCACTGCGCACTATGGGCACAACTCTCCATATACATTACACACACACACACCTCACCTACCAGTACTCATCACAACAAATATGAAGATCCCCCGTATAGCCTTAACAGACTGTGAAGGCCGGAACGGCACCCGAGGGAGCGGGTGGCCAGCACCACGCCCGGCCGCCTCAGTCTCCCCAGTGGCGAAGATCTCGTGTCGCCGGGTGCACTAACCACTGCGCCACCGGTCCCACTCACCACACCACTGCTCTCCACCCCTCTCACACTGCCACGTGCCCCTCTCACCTGCCACGTGTTTTTAATCCTAGCACGTGCCCCCCTAACCTGCCACGTGCCCCCCACATCTGCCACGTGTTCTCAATTATGCCAAGTGCCCCCCCCCCCCCCACATCTGCCACGTGTCCTCAATCCTGCCAAGTGGCCCGCCTCACCTGCCACGCCGCCGAGGGGATGTCCCCGAAGCGCCCCCTGCCTCCGTACGTGCTGCACGCGTGCGTCGCCACCTGCCCGGGCCCCGAGCCTCCTCCTCCCGCGGGGCCTCCCAGGGGCACGGAGCCGGGGGTCGGCCCCCCTCCGCAGTAGCCGAAGAGGCCGAGGCTGACCATGCCGGCTCCCCCGACCCCTGCCACACCGCCGCTGCCGCCACCGCTGGCGGCACTGGCCGCGGTCCGGGCGAGCCAGGCGGGGGAGACGAGTCCCAGGCTGCAGGCTGCGAGCAGGGCGAGCGACAGCAGGCACCAGAAGCAGGCCACGCACGTGAGCATCGCGGCCGCGGCGTGCGCGCCGAGATGCGGCACCGCTAGAGGTGGGGGTGGTGGCGGTTGTGGTGCTTGATAGTCCTGATGGTGCTCGCGAACAGCACCTGCCCCGACAGCCTGAATGGGCTATATGGGGGATCTTTGTCTTTAGTAGTGGTGGTGGTTGTGGTGGCCCTTCAACGCGCGCACAGGGTGCGCAGCGTGGACTCCCGATGGTTCAGTTCGCGGCGGTGGCGGCTGCGTGCGGGAGCCACTCGGCTGGAGCTCCTGCAGTCGCAGCAGTCGCAGTAGCAGGAGGTGGAGGAGGAGGAGGAGTTGGAGGCAGGGGTGCAGGAGCAGTTGGAAGGCCGTGCATCCACATGGCTCTGTTGAGTAAATTCACGTTCACGGCCCTGAAGCGCTCGGGCTGCGATAAAGCGGTCGTGGTGATGGTGGTGGTGATATTCAAGCCACAGCTCGTGGTGTCCGCATCCCCTGATCTTCCATTCGGCAACGGGCAGTGGCGGAGCGTGGTTGGCGTGAACCCAGTCCAATCGCTCCCCTCTTATTCGGCCCGTGGGGCCTCCGGTGTATTTGCTGCACCGCGCGCGCACTCAGCAACCGCGATGACCTCCACTGATCCTCGTTACGATCTTCTCTCACCTCGCCACGAACTTGCAGAAAATATTCCTCTCGCTTGATTATTATAACTGTCGAAGCACGAATGCACGCGCTCTAAGCGGGGCGGGTGGGCGGGGGTGATTGGTTGCGTCCAGCGTCGACATGACCCTACAGTGCGACAGGTTAAACGTAGACCGATCAAGTAAACTGCGAGAATGTGAGAGGGAGATCTATACGAAGATGTTTTGACTGGTCTAGCACTGGTCCATTACTCTTATCACTTGTATCGCTGCTCTATGACTGGTCTATCAATGGTTTATCACCGGTCTACCACTGGTCTCTATGACTGGGCTATAACTGCTCGCTCTATCAGTGCTCTATAACTGGGCTATCATCCTCAGCCGGGGAGCTGTCTGCGGTGCTGACGCACGCTGTTGGCCGGAGGCTGCGTTATCGGCACCCCACGTTTGTGGATTAACCCCTCCACCCATTAAACGAGTCACATTCAACGTTGCACTGGCAATAGGTAAATGTGCAAGCCCTGCAACTGTGTGCTCACGCCGCTGCTGGCGGGAGGGGGACTCCGCTAGAGGAAGATCCAGAGAGCCCCTCGAGAGAAAACACAAACGCGCTATGTAAATAGAGCACAGAAAGCAACCTATTAAATAAATGCAATGGAAGACTGCACAATGTTCAATGCGTCTGCGTAGCCGTTGACACCCGCGCACACGAGACCACGTTAATTGGAAACTCTTATCACGAGCTCGTTAAAAATTAAGTAGGGCAGCAGCTGTTGTTGGGAAGAGAGGGCGACTCGAACAGCCCATTGCCACACCGGAGACGCGATCCTAATCTCTGTGCGGTAATGCCACCCGGATCCTGTAAGCCGCGTCCCATATAGCGACGTGAATATTTGTAACTACACACACACAAAGACAAAGATCCCCCGTATAGCCTTAGCGGACTGTTGGGGAAAAAGTGCTATTAGCGAGCAGCACCTATGAAGGCCGGGACCGTACACGAGGGGGTTGGTTGTCAGAACCACGCCCGGACGCCTTTGTCTCCCGAGTAACAATGTTTACACACCGCACCAGGTAATCATTTGAGGCTGAGTCAACCTATGCGAGGCCCAGGACCGGTGCAGACAATCGTCACTGGCGTTGGTGGCCGTGAGCGGGAATCGAACTCGGGCCACTGAGGTCGAGGCGTAGCGTACCAACCACTACACTACCACTATAATAAATACAGCCCAACACACACAGACACGTACAAAAACAAAGACAACGACCCCCGTGTAGCCTTAACAGACTGTTGGGGCAAGTGCTGTTAGCGAGTAGCACCTATGAAGGCCAACCCTGCGAACTAGGGGGTGGGTGGCCAGCACCACGCCCGGCCGCATTCGTCTCCCCAGTGGCGATGTTTACACTCCGCAGCGGGTACTCATTTGAGGCTGAGTCAACGTAGGTGAGGCCCGGTTCAGATAATCGTCACTGGCGTTGGCGGCAATGAGAGGGAATCGAACTCGGGTCACCGGGGCCGTAGCGCATCGCGCTAACCACTACACTACACTCCCAACAAACAACAACAACAACAACAACCGCCAAATAACAACAAATAACTAATGCGCCCTAACGCACCGCCACCCAGCCTGGCCGCGCACCCACACTACAGTCGCGTTCTCTGGCGTATGGCGGCGGGAAGTTGGTCAGCAGCGATGGTCACGTCGGAGTCGAGGACGGCGAGTCGTGGGGGGGGGGGGGGGCGGCGTCACGAGTCGCCTGGTGGACATGGGAGGAGTCGCTGACGGAGGATGACGGCGTGACCCGCGCGATGTTCACCGTCAGATGTTGGTCACCGCAGCCGCACTCTGAGTCATTCTTAATTGTACAGTTACAAATTATAATGATACTGATGATGATGATAATAGGCATAAACCTACAATAACCTGTTGGTGTAGCGGATGTGATGAGTACAGGCTGTGTGTGTGTGTCCTGTTGGCTTGTGAGCTCCTGGAGGCGCGCGCCGCGTGTGCTGCTGCTGGAGCACGGCAGGGAGGGAGGGAGGAGTGGCGGAGAAGATGCTCTCAATACTCGCCCCACGCTCTCGCAGCGCTCTCCTCTCTCTCACCCAGCCCACCTCTCTCCTACTCTCTCCCTCCCCTCCCTCCCTCCCTTCCCTCCCTCCCCCTTCCTCCCTCCCCGCCTCCCCTTCATTCCTCAACGCTTTGGACATTTTTTGGGGGACAAATAATTGACTTTGATCATCGGGATACGGTAATGGGTATTCGTTCATCCATAATCAGCCACGATGAATCTACTGCTGGATGAAGGCCTCGCTAAGCCGCCGCCTCTCGATCTTGCGATGTGTAACAAAGACAAAGATCCCCCCCCCTATATAGCCTTACCAGACTCTTGGGACAAGTGCTGTTTGCGAGCACCTATGAAAGCCGGCAAGTGCACACAAGGGGGTGGTTGGCCAGACCACGCCCGGCCGCCTTTGTATCCCAAGTGGCGATGTATTCACACCGCACCAGGTACTCATTTGAGGCTGGGTCGACCTAGGGGTGGCCCAGGACCGATTTGAGATAATCGTCACTGGGTGTTGGCCGTGAGAAGGAAATCGAACTTGGGTCGCCGGGTTCGTAACGCAGCGCGCTAACCGCTACACTACCGCGATGCATAATGATCCAAATAGCACCCGCACACGAGATGATTGCTTCACTCCATCTCCACGGTTAAAGGGTTGCACAAAAAGGTCGGCAACCTAACCGCTTAAATCGTGGTGAAGTATGGTCAAATAACCTGCACGGCCCGCACAGGCGTCGGTTGGGGAGGCCTTCATCCAGCAGTGGGTTCACAGAAGGGCTCCTACACGCACAGGCGAACTGATGACAGCACAACACAATAAGAATAAACGATGTGATCATTTGTAATGCATCCATCATGAGCTGGTTAGCCGTACCCTGTACGTAGCTGTCAATTAATTGCTGTTGCGGGCTCACTGAAGGGAGGAGGAGGAGGAGGCGGAGGGTGATGGTGGCTGTGGATTAAAGGGGACGCGAAGCTGGGTACGGTACAACGCACGTTGCCGGCAACAGCAACGTCGCTCGCCTGGGTAGCTGCCCCTGGCTGCTGCTGCTGCTGCAGGGCTCTACGATGAGGTTGGTAACGACGCTGGACCGCCGCGTGTGGTTCGGCCGCGATGTCCGACGTTTCGCTTCGCGTGCCGGGAGCGTCTTCAATTCAGTTCAGCGAAACAACTTCAGCAAAGGGAAGCCTTCGTTCGGGTTCGCCTCTAACCCCTGAAGCATTATAAGCCACGTAGACAATCATCTCGCCCAATAGCCAATCAGTGCAACATTCAATACCACTGTGTGTAGCCTGACAATGAAAATAAAAGTATCGATTGCAACGTTTCGGGCAATGGCCCTTCTTCACAGCACATGAAAAAGTGTCATCGCCCGAGACATCGCCGCTTTTATAGATTCCTTTTGAGGCTGCAGTGCTGCCTAATGATGAACGTGTTGAGTTTCGTTTTTCTGTATTACTATTTGTGCTCGTGCACCACTGCCAGCGCAGCAGCGTGAACATATAATTAGTTTGATACTTCAATTAGTGGGGCTATGATGCGTGCAGTGGCGGATACATCGACTGTGCGGACCGTGTTGAAGTAACAGGCCTCACGTGGCCGCGGGTCGCGTGAAATTCAGTCGCTTCAGGCAAGCGGGCGGTCCAATCTCCCGGCTCACGCCGACGGTGGAACCACGGCTATGAACGCACGGGGGTTGTGCGCGTGGCGCAGTGGTTTGCGCGCAGCATTACCAACCCCGGCCACATAAGTTCGATTCCCGGCCGCAGCTAACATCAGTGTTGAGTGATATCCGAACTGGTCCAGGGCCTTCGCCTCGGCGGACTCGGCTTTAAAATGAGTACCTGGTGCGGTGTGTTCAACGATCCCCATCAGTATTGGGGAGACAAAGGCAGTCGGGTGTGGTGCTGGCCACACCACCCACTTCGTGCGTCGTTTCGACCTTCATCGTCGCTCGCTCTCAGCACTCGCCCCAACAGTCCACACGAGGGACATTTGTCTCTGTTATAATTTTAAGCTTCGTGACTGCAAGGATTCATACTTTGTTTTTTTCGGTAAAGTCACGTAGGTAAAAAATCTAATCAAATAAATGAAAACAACTAAATTAAGCGGTTGTGCTTTCGCTACGTTGTCCCCACCTGAAGAAGGACGCTTGTGTTGCGCCCGAAACGTCGTGATTTAATTTAGTTGTTTTCATTTATTTTATTATTTACCTACGTGACTCTACCGAAAAAAAGCCAAAGACTATTTGTATTTGTCTCTCGTGCGTCATCCCCACAGTGATTGTCCCTCGCGCGAGCGGCAGCGCGCAGAAGGCGCCAGATAATTATTTGCGTCTGTATCTCTGTGTACACAGCTCGTCGAACTTTCACGACCTGAGCCCTCTGTCTCTGCATCCCTCTCTCTCCTCTCCTGTCTCTCCCCATCGCTCTCTCGCTCGCACATTCGTAAAATGTCACCAGTGTCATTCGTGAGAGTAAACAACAGCAGAGCCTTCTCAAACTGCAGGCCCCGCGCCTCCAGCACGGTCCATGAGCGCCAACACCCTCGCGCACAATGTGGGGGGGGGGGACGTGTTTGTATTCGTCAGGGTTTCATTTGTTCTCGAAAAAAAAATTCACGTCCGCCGAGGAGATGGAGCGATGGAATCAGTGAGTGCGCGGGTACTAGGTGCGTGGTTGTTACGTCGTAGGGTCGATGAAGGGAAGGCCTTCATCCATCAGTGGATTGAGCACGGCCTGATGATGACGGTGTAATGGATAGCTGGTTGACCGGGAGATGGCAGGTGACTTGTTGCGAGAGGGAAACTGGAGTGGAGTTGCCGGGCGATGAAATATTTTCACGTTCACCGACCCGGCCCGCTATCAATCCCTGGGTATTGTCATACTTTGGGTGGAGCGGTAGCGCAGTGGTTAGCTCACTGCTCTATAAACCCGACAATTTGATATCGATTCGTGGCTATGAACAACATCAGCGCCACCCTAACTACCCCCCCCCCCCATTCACTAACCCGCACTAACTAGCGATGGTCAAGTATGGTCATGCCCGGCAAGGGGTGAAAGAGGCCTTCATCCAGCAGTGGATTGACTGCACATGAAATATAAATTATCACCCTTTGCACACATCGGTTGCGCTCAATGCAGGCGGTGTCATGCTGTCATTACAATAATTTCGGGCACATTCAAATTAGTGCTGCGTTCAGACACTTATGGATTCTGAACAATTAACACGATTATTATTTATTATTCTCAATCAACGAGAGAACCCATCATCGGAAGAGAATGTGTGCAGACAGAGATAAAGTATAATTAATTTATATATTTTTTTAAATGTGGACACTCTTGAGACAAACATTTCTCTGCAACATCTCGAGGACAGACTCTCATGCCCTCTGCTGAACGCGCATGGGCACAGCATTCACGTGCATCGCTCACAGCGGCACCTCCGCGGGAGTCGTCCTCTGAGATGTATTTTTCATCCTTCGCGCTACCATTCCGTCAGCAGTCTTGGCCATCGCGATATATTGGCCCAAGAAAATCACCTTCCGTAGTTTTACTCACTGATGTCTCTTGCTATATGCGTGTGTTCTCTGATCCATGGAGGAGGCTCGTGAAAGGCGCTACTGGTCAGTTGGAGGTAGTCGCCCTTCAACAACAACGGAGGGCGGAGGAGCGACGCTCACAAGAACGAGCAGAACGCCGGGCAGATAAAATCCAGCAAGTTGGCACAGTAGCGGGCACAGCTGGTGCATCTGCCAGTCATCTCAGTCAGTCAACGCATGGCACCTGCTGGGTCTGTCCTGTGACCTCCTGTCAGCGAGCCTTCGACACGTCACATGGACTTAAATGCACCTAGCCTGGCACTTAGTGGCGAATGGCAGCTGTTGTTATTGTTCTTATATCCACGTGCTCCTCTTTCTGTCTCTCGGTGGAATTCCCACCATGCATCTATACAATGATTTGTACCTAAGGCTGCTTAATGAACGTCTGTTAATACCAACATCAAATCATGTTACCTTTGCAACATATATATTTTTAAATAAAAAAATTGTACATCACAAGTTGTCTCGTTATTAATGCCTACATGGCTTCCTATCCCACTGGATATTTTTCGAGTAGCCACAGGCATAGCGATATGTATACTGGATTTGGTGTGCCGTGTGAGGACGCATTTTCGCATTGTCGGGTCGCCGAGCAGGACGGACGCGGTTCAAACTATTCGGGTATCCACAGAGACGTTGCATGTCACCCTGCGCCCTCTGCTGGACAACTATGAACGATAACCAGCGTTGTGATAAAAATAAATTCCGATATTAACCTGTGCCGTATCTCATATTATTATATTTTGGTACTGAGATACGGCACACAGGTTAATATCAAAAAGTACCAAAATATTATTATATTGGTACTGGCAAAGGAGGTCTAATGATGTAAATGATTACCCCGAACCCTCATTACTTTGATAGTGCATTGTCTTTGAGCTGTGGACGCCTTTTGGCGTCCTCTGGTCGAGCACCAATTGAGACGAGGCTCAAAAGAAAGTCGTCCCTGGTGTGGACCAATCAGTTTCAAGGACAATGCATATATTATCAGAGTATATTTTTGTTTGCATTTTGACTGCAAGTATTGTGGTTAATGCAGACATGAATCCTTGTAAAAAGGTTTCAGTTTTGTTGCCAGAAAAAAGGGGGAAACCCCTATTATTATACTGTGTGCCGTAAATAAGGATTGTTGCCCAGAAAAGTATATATTGTGTTATTGACGAACGTATGTGTGGATGTGGAACATCTTTCGTACCGTACGTAGCAAACTGTGCTAATTGAAGGTGCGGGGGGAAGGACAACAAACTAAACACAAAAATCAGTTCGAAAGAAATTCGTTTTCAACGCAGATGATTTAAAAGTGCACAGCTCCAGTGGTTTCCTAATAACGGAAGGAAGAGCGTTCCAGACGGCCACAGAAGCGCACCTGAAAGCGCGCGATGCGGTGACCACCGACTTTGTTTGATGGTTATCAGCCGAAAGCCGCTGCTGCTGCAGCGAGGATGAGCGCAGTTCTCGTGATGGTTTATGCTCCTTGACGAGATCAGCATTGTATAGTGGTGAATTTGTGGCAAGCACACTTTGTGTGTAATGATCGCTACTGTGTGTGTAATTATGCATAGCTGGGGAGTATAGACGAAGCTATATATTCGGCAAGATAACCCCATCGTAACAGAAACAACACGCAGAAACATGTACACAAAAAGCGCTCAGCCTTTGTGCATTTTGCAAAAACCATCAACAATTGCTGACGAACTGCATTGTGATCATCTTGTCTGAGGTCCCCGTGAGAATACATTTGAGCAAATATGACCGAATTGCACATTTTGTTCCAGATACAGAACCCGTGTGTCAATGTTATTGTTAAGCACGTGCTTGTACACGGCCCTCTCATCAGTCAATCCACTGCTGGATGAGGGCCTCCCCAGGCCGTGCTGGCGTGTGGGGGGTATTTGGCCATAGCTCACTTGGCTGGTCAGAATCTATATTTGTCCTGGAGAAATCCGATGAGCTATAAAGCTCTTCTTCACAGATGTCCAGTAGGGGCGGGTCAGAACGTTACAACAAACAGCACAAAACACGATACCAGAGCAAAGTATAGGAAAGTTAAACAAAGCACTAAAAATAACAAATACAATTTTAACTAAACGTTTTTTTATCTTATCAGGTGAAGCCCACTGAACTATGCAGCTCATTTTCAGAAGCGACCTGGTCATAAACGATAGCTCAACGAAGTGGCTCATCGCGTGGAGAGCTCTCAGCACGTGGGAGCGAAACATCGGACACCGTGCCAAACAACACGTGGTTGTTGGTGGTGGTGGTACAACCCGGGGACACACATTGTAGAACTTTGAATATCCCCACACCATATGAGACTAGGCTCTAAGGAAAGCTGTCTCTGGAATGGACCAATCAATTTCAAGGACAATGCATACATTATCAGTGTGTTTTTTGTTTGCATTCTGAGTTATTTCTGACTGCAGGTATTGTGGTTAATGAAAACATGATTGCTTGTAAAAAAAACAGTTTTATTGCCAGAAAAAATGGTAAAAAAACTAGTATTATATTTTGCTACTGGCAAAGGAGGCCTCATGATGATAAAAATTATTTCGGTCTCTTTCTCCCACTGGGGTTTCAGAGGTCCCACGGATTGACACGGATTGACACGGATTGACTCCGACAGCGTTGCAGCTGTCTCGTCGAACAGCCGTTCTCGTTTCGCCGATTTTTCTCCCCCCCCCCCCTCCCGTTTGGCAACCCAGGGCCATGCCCCTTGATAGCACGTAAGAGGTAACGGCGCAGCTCCTGCAATGTCTCGCTCATGCCACTGCTGCGTGGAAACGCCGTTGACTGGAGGGAGCTCTAAAGCAGCGGTCGGGAACCTATGGCTCGCGAGCCATATATGGCTCTTCCGGTGACGGCATATGGCTCCCAGACAATTTTGAGTTGAAAAAAATAATAAAAAAAATAATAAAAATCAGTTTGGAACTGATTTAAAAATAATTGTGATATTGCTTAATAATACTGTGTCATTTTAAAGTAAACAGAAATTAGTTTTGAAGATAAATTTCACGGGTCACGGGTCCCGTGACCAGAAGTCGCATTAAAAGTAAGACATATTTAATTTATTATACGTAAAAAATACTATATGGCTCTCAATGAAAGATATTTAGAAATATTTGGCTTTTATGGCTCTCCCAGTCAAAAAGGTTCCCGACCCCTGCTCTAAAGTGTAGGGGGGGGGGGATACGACTCGGCTTGATCATCGTGGGATGAACATTAGTGTCGGTGGCGGAGCGAGTTGGGTGGGCGCTGCCTCCCTGCTGTGTGAACCAGAGGTCGCTTATTCAAGAAAGTGATTTAAGAGGTAGTTCTGTGATATCCACTTCCGCGGGTCGTTCTCGAACGCAGCGGAGGGCTGCCCACTGCTCTGCGAGATTTACGATGGGATTCATCTCCTCTACGACGTCACGTCGACACCATAATCGCAATATTTGCAACTGGGCAAAATCTAAACATTGTAATTTTTATCTTTATACTGCAATATTTTTTTCCACAAATCAGCCGCAATTAGGACGCAAATGTGTGCATGCAATATTCATTAATTTATTATTTTGAATTCAGCAATTCCTCGCAAACATCAATAACCAATTGAATATCCAGGTTATGTTGAGTATTAATTGCAATTCAAAGGAACGAGATAGTGTCCGTGTACAATATAGTGAGTGTATTATATCCATGCTGTGCATCACTCAACCCACTTATTTTTCTTCCTTTTTTCTTGAATAAACCGCAACTTTTTTTCAAACCGGGACCATTGTATTCGCGACAAGACCCAGTGACTGAGAAGGATCGCTTGAATGTGTATTTAATTTTAATTGCCAAGTGAAGGAAGTGAAAACCCCTCCACCAGCACCACCGCCCTCCCCCTCCTCCTCCCTCTGCTGAGCAGAAGCGGGGTGAGCGCTCCTCGCGTTCGCGTGGGGGAGGCCTCCTTCACCTCATCTCCTATCATCTCATCATCATCATTATCACCTCGTCTGGCCTCACATCATCATCATCCTCCTCCTCCTCATCTTCGCCGGAGGACACGAGGAAGTGAGAGAGACGCGGGGTGGGTCGGGGAGCCGGAGGTCGTCGTCTGCCGGTCATGGGCACCCGAGACGACAACCACCGCCACCTCGTCAACAACAACCACCTCCTCGTCAACCACCTCCTCGTCAACAACCACCACCTCGTCAACCACCACCTTCTCTTCGTCGTCGTGGGCTGAGCAACGACAGCCCGCAGAGATGTCGTTCATCATCAAGCGCATGTCCAGAGGTGAGGCACTACCCCCCTCTCCCCTCCCTCCCTCCCCGCGGGGGTGGTGGCGGTGTTGGTGGGGAACTTCCAGGCGAGGCCGAGGCTCCTAATCGCGGCCTCGCGGCCTCGCGGCGGGGCCGGCCGGTGCAGTCACTTCGCTTCGCTTTTGCAAAACGACGACGGGAAAAGCGGCGGCGGGGCGAGGGCGGTGGAGGTGACGACGACTCGTCGTTATCACAATGAGCTCGTTCGTGATTCAATGCGACGGTGGAGAGAGAGAGAGGGAGAGGATTCACGGAATCGCGGATTTCCCCCCCCCCTCCAAGCACCACCACCCGGACGCTCTGGCGGCCGTCGGGAAGGACGCGCACCGCAGACGCCGCCGCCGTCAAACCCAAGTCGGTGAACGTTCGTGGGACGTTCGTGGGACGTTCGTTTTAATGTTTGTTGGTAGGAGGTAGGAGGAGGGAGGTTATTGTTGGTTTGTTTGTGTGGTTGTAGCCGACGGCTGCGAGAATCGGTGGAAGGAGACGATTGTAGTGGAGAGTTAATACTAACACTGTACCAATAATACTAACACTGTACCAATAATACTAGCACTGTACCAATAATACTAGCACTGTACCAATAATACTAGCACTGTACCAATAATACTACACTGTACCAATAATACTACACTGTACCAATAATACTACACTGTACCAATAATACTAACACTGTACCAATAATACTAGCACTGTACCAATACTGTAATACTAACACTGTACCAATAATACTAGCACTGTACCAATAATACTAACACTGCACCAATAATACTAACACTGTACCAATAATACTAACACTGTACCAATACTGTAATACTAACACTGTACCAATAATACTAGCACTGTACCAATAATACTAACACTGTACCAATAATACTAACACTGTACCAATAATAACACTGTACCAATAATACTAACACTGCCAATAATACTAACACTGTACCAATAATACTAACACTGGACTAATAATACTAGCACTGTACCAATAATACTAGCACTGTACCAATAATACTACACTGTACCAATAATACTAGCACTGTACCAATAATACTACACTGTACCAATAATACTAACACTGTACCAATAATACTAGCACTGTTCCAATAATACTAACACTGTACCAATAATACTACACTGTACCAATAATACTAGCACTGTACCAATAATACTAGCACTGTACCAATAATACTACACTGTACCAATAATACTAACACTGCACCAATAATACTACACTGTACCAATAATACTAACACTGTACCAATAATACTAACACTGCACCAATAATACTAGCACTGTACCAATAATACTAACACTGTACCAATAATACTAACACTGTACCAATAATACTAGCACTGTACCAATAATACTAACACTGTACCAATAATACTAACACTGTACCAATAATACTAACACTGTACCAATAATACTAACACTGTACAAATAATACTAACACTGTACCAATAATACTAACACTACCAATAATACTAGCACTGTACCAATAATACTAACACTACCAATAATACTAACACTGTACCAATAATACTAACACTGTACCAATAATACTAACACTACCAATAATACTAACACTGTACCAATAATACTAACACTGTACCAATAATACTAACACTACCAATAATACTAACACTGTACCAATAATACTAACACTGTACCAATAATACTAACACTGTACCAATAATACTAACACTGTACCAATAATACTAACACTACCAATAATACTAACACTGTACCAATAATACTAACACTGTACCAATAATACTAACACTACCAATAATACTAACACTACCAATAATACTAGCACTGTACCAATAATACTAGCACTGTACCAATAATACTGTACAACTACCAATAGTCTAACACTACCAATAATACTGTAACACTGTGCCAATAACAGTCTCGAATACTGTACCAATAATGCTGTACCAATAATACTGTACCAACACTATACCAATAACACTATCTACCACTACCGATACTAATGTCAAACACTGTACCAATAATATTGTTCCGATACTACTGTCTCTGGCACTGTACCAATGTTAATGTCTCCATTGCTACCTCTGGTCACCAATGGTAACACATAATTACCAACCTTATCCCAGCCTCGGGCCATCAACACTAACTTTACAACGCTAACCTAATACCTAATACTAATTCAAACCACAACATTAGCATAACCCCAATAATATATCCAAGATTAACACCTGGCGCTAACCCCTTTGTTAACCCAATAGCTAATAACCCCATTCTAACCTAGCCCAAGTCTGAACATCTAACACGCTAACCTTAAACCTAACACTAACCCCACTGCTAAACCTGTACCTAGCAGCAGTATTTCCATCACTACCCCATCGGCATGATTACTCATAACCCTATTCCTCAACTACTGTATAATTCATATTATCACCTCCTACACAACACAGAATTTATACTGGAGAAATCGCTTTTAAAGACGTACAAATCAAACTAAACTTTGTATCTTACCAGGTAAAGCCCACTGAACCCTACCACCATCACGAGCCTTTCGCAGGCATTCATCCTATTCACGAATCGTATCTCTTAACACGAATCACAGGAAAATACCTCTTCTCAAACCTGCCTATTGACAATTTTCATAACCATAGCCCAAACACCCTGTTCCTTATCCCCACGACAGGTAGACAATTTCCTACCGGTCGTGGGGATAGGGAACAGATTTATTATTGTAATTGTGGCACCTGCTCGCTCATTTGCATGTGAACCCATTCTCAGAACATGACAAGCAGCATGGTGTGGACGACTACCACGTGGTGTGGGGCAGGCCCACAACAACACAATGGCGTGGTTGCAGGCACGTCGCCTGGTACAAGAAATTAAATGGCGGTCGGTGGTGGGGGGGTCTCTTGACACATTTCTCCCCCCTCTGTCTCTCTTCGTAGCCCGGCGCCTGCATTTCCCTCCAGTCCATGGGCCACGGTGCATTTAGTTCTGCACTCAATAACCATGCCACTGTCCACAATGCAGAATTGCCACGTTCATTGTATACAGTGCGCTTCTCCGTGACCTCGTGATGAAGCTCTGCGACGTTTCACAGAGCTACGTGCGTTACTGTACAGTGGCGAGATGTTAACTACCTCGCCTGGTATGCAGGAGGTCGTGGGTTCCATCTCAATCCCGACGCCTGCTGTATATTTGGAGTTTGCGTGTTCTCCCCATGGTGTCCGAGTCCTCCGATTATTCCCTCCACCTTTAGAAACGTGCGTTTAGAGTATTTAGCTGCTCCTATACATTTCCACGTGATAAGCCACTTCATTGAGCTATCATTTGTGACCAGGTCGCTTCTGAAAAAGAGCCATATAGCTCAGTGGGCCTTACCTGACCAAATATTAAATAGTTTAGTACTAGTGAGAGACTGTGAAGGCCTCTGGGGTTATTCGTATTTTCAACGAAGGTATGTCAGTTGGCCATGTCAGTGAAACCAATGTTATTGTTAAGCGTGTGATCAGTTGACGTGATGACCACGTTCTCAAAATGAATGATTACATTGTTGCGGGCTGGTCACAGTGGCTGCGTGCACGTGTGTGTGTGCACGCACCTTTGTCACGCGAGCATGGCAAAGGTCATCTTCTCGCCCACCATCATGGACCAAATGCCCGACGGTACCTCCCCATGATTATCCCTTTCAAGCTCACGTTGATTGCGTGCAGGCATTCGGCTCTGTCCCATCAGCCCGTCACGTGGGTGGGGTCACTATTTAACTTTGGAATAAAGTTGTGTTGCTATTTAGTGAATTATCTGCTAGAATACCAGCCAAATTCATGAAAGGGTTCCCAAAACTTGAAGACACAAACCACAGCAGAAAGTACTGTTTATAAATACTTTAAGCAAACACGTTTTATCCGATAGCTACCCAATCCTTCAACTTTCTTACTGATAAATAATTCCAAAGACAAACACATACATGTGCTTTCCCACCTGATGAAGGACGCTTGTGTTGCACCCGAAACGTCGTGATTTATTTTATACCTACGTGACTTTACCGAAAGAACCAAAAAGCATACATGTGCATGGTTTATTTTAGTAACTTGTTTATTTACAATCAAACACATTTGACTCAATTCCCTCCTTACCCTCTCGTGTGTGGACACATTTGCTCCTGTGAGGCTATGCGAGGAGCCGGCGGTGATGAAGTGACAAACCCATGGCACTGCGATTCCAGCAACAGCATGGCTCCTGCACTTGGTCACGCACACTGCCTAAAGTTGGTTATCAGAGTTGGGCTTTGGGCATCCACCGGGTCAGATCCACCAAAAAGATTGGCTCTCCTCCAATTAGCGCGGTTGGCTGCGTACAGTAACGCCTCCGATGAGCATGGTTGGCTACGTATGGTGCGAAAGAAGTTCAACGTACATGCGTACAGTTCTGGGAGAGATAAATGGAACCGGGCGTGCGTGACCCATCCACCAGTGCGATCGCTTTCTGTAAATGATGAGAAAGAAAAATCAGCAAACGGAAAAACGAGTGCAGCCTGGAAACCAGTAAGAGTAGTACCGATGGCACAAGGCACGATGGCGACCATGTGATTGGTACTGCCATCATGCCTCGCAGGTCGTCGTGTGAAATCGCCATACTTCACTACAGTCTGTGAGGTAAACAAAAGGCTTTGTGCATCGTACAAGCCGTGGTGTCACGTGGCATGCCATGCACAATGGGTAGGACTGATTCTACACCAATACCCGCCATTCGCCACGAAGTGATTGTGATGTCACCACAGTGTCTGTGCCAGGCCAGGTGCACTTTGAGGCCACGTGAAGTGTCGAAGGCTCGCTGACAGGTCACGGGACAGACCCAGGTGTCATGGGTTGACCGACTGAAATGATCGGCAGATGCACCAGCTGTGCGCCCTACTATGCCAACTTATATTTCAGCCACCCGGCTCCTCCACTCGTTGTTGTGAGCGTCGCTCCTCTGCCCCCCGTTGTTGTTGCAGGGCGACTGCCTCCAACTAATCCTGTGGGCACAGTCGCACCTTGCCTGCTGCACCGGCATTAATCGGCGCTCATTAATAGCGCACTCCGTTTTATCGCAGGTGCTGTCACCTGCAGCACTACACCCGCCGCACTACACCCGCCGCACTACACCTGCTCTTATTTATTACCAAATACCCACACCAGCGGCTGATGAAATCGCAGTTAACGCACTTTCATGGTAAGCAGGCTTGAGCCTGGATGGCAGTCGTGTGGGTGAACTCGCTGCACGCACAGGACGCGGTGCTGGCTGCGGGACTTCTCGGAATACAGCGGGAGGGCAGTGCAGCAGCAACACCTCGTCGTTGTACCGTACTTCTGTGTTCACTCATCGCTTGCCTGCCTTCACCAACCCGCACTGACCAGTCGGGGTAAAATTCTGTATGGCCCAAAAAACTCCCACAGCATGGTGGGGGGAGGGGGGGGGGCTCACCTCGCATCAGATTGACAAAGGGCCGTACGTGGACCCACACACGTCCAGCAGCTTCACTTTATTTCGCTGCCTTGGCGGTACGGAATGTGCGTGGGTGTGCCGCAGACTGCAACCAAAATCACTTTTTCGATTTCATCCCGCATGGCATTGCTGCAACACCCATCGGGCGCGCCGTGAGGGTTGCGCAAGATCTCGCGTGTCCATCAGCTCTCCTGGAAAGTCACCGCTCTTTATAGTCGCGACGTGCCTTGAAAGGGCGCCACGGTGTCAAAGATGTTCAACTGCCTTGAGAGATGACACTGTACCTGAATCCACGCGGGCGACGTTTGTTAGTGCCTTCTCTTGAGGCGGCTAAGTGCCAGATCCTGTGGTGTGCGGTGACACATCAGCTGGTGCTGGTCAATCATTGTTACATTTGATCATCCATTCAAACATTTGTTCAAACCCTCCTCGTCTCAGTGGAAGGCCCCCTGGGCTGAATAGGAGGGCGCCTTCCTTGGCTCAGTCGGAGACATTTAACCCCTTGGGCTCTGTTGGATACTTTGTTGTTTACTTTCGTGTTTCACAGCCCAGGTGGAGTTTCACTCCCCCTCTGGGTTCAGTGGAGACATTCTCCCTCAGGGTGCCTCCGTAGAGACATTTAGATGTGAATAGTATCCGCTGTCTCGCACTGTTTCACACAGGTGTGTGTGTCTCTGCTTCGGAACGAAGTGATAACTGCGGGGTGCCTTGTATGTGTATGGCCAACAAATAGAAAGATCTGCCTATAGCCTGAACAGAGTGCTGTTAGCGAGCACCTATGAAGGCCAGCACGGCACAAAGGGCGTGGGTGGCCAGCACCACGCCCAGCTGCCTTTTTCTTTCTAGTAGGCGATGTTTACACACTGAACTAGTTACTCATTTGAGGCTGAGTCGACCTCGGGGAAGACCGATTCAGCTCATCGTTACTGGTGTTGACCGTGAGCGGGAATCAAACTCGGGTTGTTGGGTTCATCGTAACAGTGGTGCTAACCACTGTGCACACCCACAAACAATTAAATGTTTTACGCGTAATATAGGAAAAACAATCTAGATGTACAACGTTGGACGCATGAACGCCGCACGCGTTCTCAGGAAGCACTTGTGTCGCGTTTTTTGCTTTTCGTTTTCTCTAGAACTGCTTTTTGTTTTTAGTTTGCCGTACTTCCCCACACCCTACGGTTAACAAGGTTGGCTACGTACGGTGCCAAAGAAGTTCAACGGAGAGTACGTACAAACATCAAACACGGCTGTGTCGGTGGTACAGGCATACAGCGTGAAATAAGATGAAGCTTCCCGTGATGGCGGTTCATCGGTTATGTGATGATACAGCGTGCGGCATAAGTCAGGAGCCATGGCGATTGCAGGGCCGCGAGCCGGTGTTGCTTCGATATGTTGCTTCGTGTAGCGTAGCGGTTATCGCGTTGCGGTACAAACCCGGCGACCCGAGTTCGATTTACGCTCACGGGCAACACCGGTGACGATTATCTGAACCGAGCCTCACCTACGATGACTCGGCCTCAAATAAGTACCCGCTGCGGTGTGTAAACATCGCCACTGGAGAGACAAAGGCGGCCAGGCGTGGTGTTGGCCACCCACCCCATCGTGTGCCGTGCCGCTAACAGCATTTGCCCCAACAGTCTGTTCAAGCTGTACGGGAGATCTTTGTCTTTATTTTAGTGTGTATGAACTTGACATCCTACTGGACGTCTGCGAAAAACACCTTCATAGCTCATCGGATTCTTCAATAATAATAATAATAATTAAATTATTATTAAATAATTCTGATGCTGAAACGTGACGTGTCCCCACATGTGTGGATTCTGCGGGGGTCAGGGAGCGAACTCCTGCATATTTCAGTGGCCACTGAGGTCACCGGACCTGGCTCCTCTCCTGATTGTGTGTGGAGGGCCCTTGACGTTGGCTGTCCGTGCCGGCCGTCCGTGCCGAGTGTCCGTGTCGAGCATCCGTGCCGAACGTCCGTGTCGACCGTCCGTGTCGACCGTCCGGGCCACCCCGAGCGTCACACGAGGAGGAAACACGAGCTGCTTGTTTTACAAAACCCAACGCGTTCGCCAACAACGCCGAGGTGCCATAAAAGGAAAAATATATAAATAACAGGAGACGTTTCGGGCGTAACCTCTGGAGAAGGGTGGTTGCCCGAAATGTCTCCTGTTTTTAATATTTTTTTCCTTATAAGACCAGGCAGTGTTCTTATTGGCAAATGTGTTGACATTTCTTGTTGCCCGTTGCACCACTGCCAACGCAGCAGCGTCACCAAATAATTTGAGTGTTATTAGTTCAGAGTGTTTGATGGCGATGATGTTCAAAAAAGTGATGGTGGTGGTGATGGTGACATTGATGGTGTTGGTGGTGATGGTGACAGTGATTTTGAATGCAGTGATGATGATGTTGAATTTAGTGATGGGTAGTGGTAATGATGGTGATGTTCAATGTAGTGACAATGATGATCATTGTATAAAATAGGTTTTACCCTTTCTGAAAATGAAACTAGTATTAAGATGTTCAAACACCAGACAGAAAGCTTTTGCAAGAAATCACATCTGCATTAACCAGCGTGAGACCAGAGAACACCAAAAGGCGAATGATGATCATGTTGGTGATGGTGATGATGATGGTGGTGGTTATGATGATGGTGGTGGTTATGATGATGGTGGTGGTGATGATGGTGATGATGGTGGTGATGATGATGATGGTGGTGGTTATGATGGTGGTGGTTATGATGGTGGTGGTTATGATGGTGGTGGTTGTGATGATGGTGGTGGTGATGATGATGGTGGTGATGGTGGTGGTGGTGATGATGGTGGTGATGATGATGATGATGGTGGTGGTTATGATGGTGGTGGTTATGATGATGGTGGTGATGATGGTGGTGGTGATGATGATGGTGGTGGTGGTGGTGATGATGATGGTGGTGATGATGATGATGGTGGTAGTTATGATGATGATGATGATGGTGATGGTGGTGGTGGTGATGATGATGATGATGGTGGTGGTGATGATGATGATGGTGGTGGTGATGATGATGATGGTGGTGGTGGTGATGGTGGTGATGATGATGGTGATGATGATGGTGGTGGTGATGATGATGGCGGTGGTGGTGGTGGTGGTTATGATGGTGGTGGTGATGATGGTGGTGGTTATGATGATGATGATGATGGTGGTGATGATGATGATGGTGGTGGTTATGATGGTGGTGGTGGTGATGATGATGGTGGTGGTTATGATGATGATGGTGGTGGTTGATGATGGTGGTGGTTATGATGATGATGATGGTGGTGATGATGATGATGGTGGTGGTTATGATGGTGGTGGTGGTTATGATGGTGGTGGTGGTTATAATGATGGTGGTAATGATGATGATGGTGGTGGTGGTGATGATGATGGTGGTGATGATGATGATGATGGTGGTGGTTATGATGTGTTTGTGCCACAGATAAGGGAAAGGGGAAGGAGGTGTTATCCACTCGGAGCCCTGCAAGGTCAGGTGAGCATTGCCCCCTGAACTCGGTTCTGTGTGCTTCCTCTCATCGTACAAACAACAATTCACTGCAATCCCCAAGAAGTCTTCATGGAGTCTCAGGACTCGGCGTTACCAGCTCCTGACTTGCAATGTTTGACCTGTCTCTATTAACAAGAGCAATTTTTTAGTTTACTTAAAACGTGCATTCTTTCATACCCGGTGCAATGATCCTCATTTGCTATTTTTTTTGGGTTGGGCCACATGGTAGTTTTGTGCCAAAATTCGTGTTGTTTGTATATATGTTAAGCTTCTTTCGCACCGTACGTAGCCAGCCGTGCTAATCAGAGGCGTTGTTAGCCCTCCACCGCCGGACAAGATTGTCACGTGTGCAGAGTTGCTCCCTACTCGTGGCCGCTGTGCCGATGAAATTCTGACCAACACAGCTCCTCCTCCTACTCCTCCTCCTGCTCCTCCCCAGTGGCTGGAAACTTTTAATGACGAATTTAAACATTTGCATGCGATGCCGTTTCGGTCAAACTGCTCCGACCCTCATCGGGTAATGGGTTCTGAAATCCAGTTTTTGTTTTTGTTTAATCACACAGTGGCCCCTCGAAATAACGCGCGTGGATGTAGCGTCTCGTACGGATAATGGGGGCGGGGGGGGTCATTGTGGACCCCCCCACCCACGCATCTACCCGCCGCGTGTAATCGTCACGCGCCTGTGCGGTCCCCGTTTAGCTCTGTGCTTACGGTAACCAGCGTAGCGTAGCATCGCGCGTTCCACAGTTGGATTGCGAAGTACGGACAGTTCTTTCTTATTTATAACATGAAACAGCGTGCAAATAACGTGTTTAAAGAGCCAAAGCGGTGCCCTGCTAGAATTAACATTTAAACGATGTTAGGCGCTGCAAATTCAATACTTTTGTCTTTGTGGGAATGAAGGGGGAGGGGGGTTTTGTCGATAAAAACGCACAAACTGGGGCAGCACGTTCCAACCCCCCCCCCCCCACCAGAACCTGCTCGGTGTTTCGATGTCGCGGTAGCACTTTGTGCGCGCTCGCCACTCGCGAATCGGCCGGAGCGGAGGAGGCGTTGGCGCCCTCTGACCAGACCCCCCGCCCCCCCCCCCGCCCCCCCCCCCCCCGCGTGTGTGCGCAGCCCGGCAGCCGTCGAGGAATCACGCGAGGTCCGAGACGCCGCCGCCGCCGAGCCGCGATGCGCTCAGCGCCATCTCGGGGGCCATGGAGGGCGCCGGGGTGCGCACCGGCGCCCTGCGGCGGCCGCCCCCCACGCTCGCCGAGCCGCAGCACTTTGGCGACCTCGGTGAGGCCGCGGGGCCGCCGCTGCGCTTCGGGCGTGAGCCACCGCGCCCTGGAACAACTTCCGTGTTTGCCGATCCGTTTGTCCGAACGTCAGTGTTGCTTGTTGTTGTAATGTTGTTACCTGCCCCCACTGGGCATCTGTGATAAAGAGCTCATCGGATTCTGATTCTGATCGATGGGTCCGTCCGTATTGGGGCGGTGTTGATATCCCGAGTTCGATTCCCAGCTACGGCTAACGTCAGAACCGTTCCCGAGTCTCCCCTTCACCAGCCTCCACTCACAAATGTGATGAGGTGTGGTCAGTCAACCCGCACCCCACAGTGGCTGTGAATTCTAAACATTTATAATACTTTTCAATGAACATTGAAAGCGCGAATGCATTAGCTCCGTCTGTCCGTCTATCTGTCCCTTATTGGGTTTGGAGAGGCATGGTAACTCCCAGAAAGGCGATCCAACACGAGGAACATTTTAGTGTGAAGAGAAGCTTTGAGATGAAAAACCAGTGCTAAACGGACATCCCGGCCCCGATGTCTGCACCCCTTGGCCCCGATATCCGCACCCCATGGCCTCCCCACGAGCCTACGGATTAGCCGCTGTCTCTTAACGAAACGCCTCCGAGTACAAACGCGTGTTGGAGAGAGTTGATCCGCGTGCGTACGTCCGCATTTTCCCCCTAACTCGCTCGTTCTCGTCCTTCCCGCCGCTTCGTCTCCGCGGCGGAGGCCACGCGTCACTGCGCGCCGTGGCCGCCACCACCTCCCCCGGCGAGGAGGAGGGCCCCCACTCCCGCCTGAGCCGCACGCTGGGCGAGGCCCTGCGCGACCCGGCCGCTCTGCCGCACCTCCTCCTGGACTTGGAGGCGCGCGGCGCGCTGCACCTGGCGCGCTTCTGGCTGGACGCGGAGGCGTTCCGGCAGGAGAGCTGGGCGCGCGTGCGCACCCGCTCGCTCGACGCCGTCAAGCTGAGCTCGCTCGCCGCGCGGACCTCCCCCCTTCCAGCCCGCGGCTCGCCGCTCCTCGCCGCCACCGCGACCGATCGGTCGCCCGCAGGCAGAAACTTCCCGGCCGGGGAAAGCCCGTCGCCGTCGGCGCCCGCGGGTCCCGGCGACATCAGGGCGGCGCCGCCGCGGGAGCTGTGCGGTTGCGGGTCGGCGCGCTCGTGCCCGTTCTGCGGCGGCAGTGGCGGCACCGCCGGGCCCGATCGGCCGAGGCGACGCGGACGGTCGCTGCTCGACGGGGACGGTGGCGGCGGCGTGGGGGTGCGGAGCGGGGACGCGTGCGGGAGGGATGGGGCGGAGGAGGGGAGGAGGCCGGCGAGGGCCGTGCCCGACGGGCTCACGCTGCCGAGCACGACCGCCGAGGGCTGCGACTCCATCTCCGACAAGCTCATGAAAAGTACGCTGCCCGCGGGGTGCAATCGGGGATTCATTTCTCGCTATTTAGCGGGTCGCTGGTAGACTGGTGTAGGTACCCACGTGACACGTAGTCACAGCCGTAGCGATCGGTTTACTGGATGTGGTGTGCCACCTACATAAATATTGTCCGGGTCGCCGAACTGGACAGACCCGGCTGATACGAATCCCTGGGCGCCATCGTGCTCACCGTGCAGCTCAGGGGAAGTCTACACTCGAGCAGTGACTGTCTTATCGAGATACTGTCTCCTGCCTTATGAATGTGGAATCCCACCACAGGTTCAGGAGCACCAATGAGCATTACCGCTGCCTAATGTTCATAGAGGGCCCCCTGACGAACTGTTTTCATGTCCAGCCTTCCCCCCACCTCCCCCTCTGCCCTCCCCCACTCCCACCGCAATTGCCGGTTCCCGTGAGTATCGGCGGTCGTGCTCGCCGTGGAGTACCATGATGCGTTACTTTCGGAACAGAAACGGTTGTCGCGCCTGGCGAGGCGCACGGCGGCCTGGTGCTGGGGTCGCGCGGGTTCACTGAGCGTCAAGCGGGGAAGCAGCGCCCGTGACCAAATCCCCCCGTGGCTCACGGCCGAAGCCGCACCTCCAAAGCTAAGAATTCAAATTCACAGCACGACAGTGCTGGGGCTGGCTTCTTGTCACCTCGATCTTGGATTGTACTTTGCTCCATTTCAATCTTTAACGTCCACAGCGCCCTTTTGCGGTATCACTCCGGGGGGGGAGGGGGGGGCGGCAGCCACTTGGTTCAATCCACGAACCTCCCGTGGCAGAGCAGCTGGCGCGCTACCCTCTTGGCCGTGTCTTGTTGTTTGATGATAGAAAATCATCGTAAACAACGTCACATCATCCTTCCGTTGACACCCAGGAATTAAGGGGGAGGGTGGGGGGGGGGTCGGTGTTAAATGGCCTGTAACCCGCACGCTTTCCCGTGCCTCATGCCAACCGAGCCGTCTTGTTGGCCGCTCTCAAAGCAGGCTGCTGTCACCACAGCATTCGTGAAATTTGTTCGCCCTACAGATTGTGGTTATTATTCCTATTATTATTCCGACTCTTTCACCGCATGACCTGTTTCTTCACGTCATCGAGCCAAGATTATCTTTTTGTTGGCAATAGAGCTGGCTCTGATAAAGAAAGACAGGCACTTCATATCATGTCACAATATTCGTAAAAAAAAATCCTTGCTGTGTTCGTGCCTGGCTGCCTGGCACGCGGCTAAGCGTGTGTGCGGTGGTGATGTCACCTGCACCCGCAGTATTGAGCTGGATTTGTGCGTAGCGTTGACGTCACGCCTCCCGCCCCCACCACCAACCAAGAACAAAAAGTTTGGCTGGCTGGTGGGCGGGCGGACGTGTGGGCTGCTGGTAAAAAAATGTAAGCGGATGCACTACACTCGCCGTTTCACCGATATTTCAAGATGACGCCACCTCAATAATTTGAAACCGTTCAAACGGTAATGTTTGCTGCAGGTCGTTCTTGCCATCGGAAATCAGCGTGGTAAATTTGAATTTATTTTATATAGTTTTAGCGGTGTTCGTAAGCAGCTGGGTGACAAATGCATTATTGTACCGTACTACTATGCTCCCCGCCTTCACCAACCCACACGGCCAGCGCGGTGAAGTACGGTCAAATGAATCCCACATAACGCACAGCACAGCGAGACCCTGAACCAGCGGTAGATTGGCAAAGCGCTGAACATGTAACATACATGTCACATGGGTGGTAGCAATGTGAGAGCGTTTGGCAATGTGGCAGAGCGTTGTCATTGTGTCGTTGATAAAATGAGAACAAATTTCTAAGAAGTCAGCAGTGGTTGCAGAGCAGAGACTCGCCCCGTCATCATTGGCTCAGGGCCACCTAAGGAGATATGAACACCCCCGCCCCAACGCTTGTTTGAGTAGGAGACTTGGAAGGAAATTTTGTTGCACTATATTCAACTCTATAAATGTAACATTAAATGACAAACAAATGGTACGCGCTCACCGTGGAATGATCAACGATCGTGGTGATAAGTATTGCACTGGCTATGACCATAATTGGGGGCGCCACGGTGGAGAGATGTTAACTCCCTCGCCTGGTATGCAGAAGGTCGTGGGTTCGATCACGACCCTGACGCCTGATGTATATTTGGAGATTACATGTTCTCTCCTTGGTAGCGTGGATTTTTTTCCAGGTCCTCCAGTTTTCCCTCCACATTTAGAATGAACATCACGTGAGTATTTGGCTGCTATAAATGTTCACTTGGTAAGCCACTTCGTTGAGCTATCATTTGTGGCCAGGTTACTCAGTGGGTCTTACCTGATAAAATAAAAATAGTTTTTGTTTTAATTTAAAAGCCATACGGGGTTGAGCCGGGAAAGCACTTGGATGGGGTACCACCGTGAATCTTCTTTCGAATGCCATGTAAGTAACAGTTTGTATAGATGTCATCGTTGAATGTTAAGGTCCTTCAACGAATCCAAGGCGGCAGAATATGCTGTATGGATTTCAGCGATACCACCAGGATGTGCGTCGATGGCACACTCGTCGGTGATGCGTTTGATGGTTTAGGCTTTACCACGGTCGCAGATTGGCGATTCTTTGATTTTCTACTTATGGAACAACGTGGTACGACGCGCACCTCCTGTGCTGCGTGCAAATGTGGTTCAGTGTGGTCCACAGCTGTCGTGAGAGAGAGACTCCACCGTGAAAAAACAGGTGTTATAGGCTGTGAGGCAGGTGCCAGTGCACCGACATCCATTGTTGTAGTGTATTACACTCCCCCCATCTATGCTCCCCTCCTTCACCGACCCACACTGACCAGTGTGGTGAAGTATGTTCAAACAGCGCCTGCTATCCGTATCGCGTTGGGAGGCCCGCCTTCCAGCGGTGGATTGGCAAATGGGCAGTGAATGTGTTGTGCAGATAAAACAGCCATGATGGTGATGATGATGGCGGTGATGATGATGATGAACATGAATTCAGAGACGAGGAGGGAATTGGTGGTGAGAATGATGGTGGTGGTGATGACACCGATGAATGTTTTGGTCAAACATCCCAATATAGAACCACAGTGCTTGGATAATTGTTGGCAGGGCAGGTTCGGGCTGCCTGGCTTGTCGATTCTCGCGCCTTCGAATATTTCTCTCGCTCTGAGTGTGAGTGAACGAAAATAGTGTGTGTATAGCAAACATCAATGATCATATTATGATGATGGTGATGATGATGGTGATGATGGTGATGATGATGGTGATGATGATGGTGATGATGGCGGCGATGCGTGCAGGTATAGAGCGGGATGCGGTGGAGCTGTTCACGCGATTCGTGTCGCAGGATGCCGAGGTGGCGCTGCCCATCAGCGACGCCATGCGGAACCTCATCATCGGTACTTGCACAGCAGCAGAGACAAAGCTCCCCCGTGTAGCCTACGCAGACTGTAGTGGCAAGTGCTGCTAGCAAGTACCTATCGCTGCCTAATTCAAAGCATGTACCCCCTCCGTGCTGCTTTGCGCACTTTTCAAATTGCATGCCGTTTCTTCTCTGCCGATATCCATGTTACACACACAAATAAAAAGATGCCCCATATCTAGCCTTAAACGACTGTTGGGTCAAATGTTGTTGGCGAGCACCTATGAAGGCTGGCACGACACACGAGGCCAGCACCACACTTAGCCACATTTTGTCTCCCCAGTGGCGATGTTTACACACCACACCAAGTACTCATTTGAGACTGAGTCGACCAATGAAAGGCCCAGGACCGGTTCAAATAATCATCACTGGTGTTGGCCGTGAGCGAGAATCGAACTCGGGTCGCAGGGTTCCTCGCGCTGTGGACTAATCGCCGCTCTGCATATCCTAGTTACACGCAGAAACACGCACACACACTTGTACAAATCTACACGCAGATGCGCGTAACCGCGACTCATTCGGATCACGGTTCTGGCCGCGTGCGCTGCAGCTCGCGACGCCACGTCTCTCTCCGCCGCCGTAAAGACCACGCGCCTCGCCCGTGTGTGTGTGTGCCTCCTCCCCCTCCTTTTTCTCCTCCACCTCCTCCCCCTCCTCTTCCTCCCCCTCCTCTTCTTCCTCCACCTCTTCCTCTCTAATTCCTCCCTCTCTTCCTCCTCTTCCTCTCTTTCCTCTTCCTCCATCTCCTCTTCCTCCATCTCCTCTTCGTCCCTCACCTCTTCCTCCCTCTCTTCCTCTTCTTCCTCTTCCTCCCTTTCCTCTTCCTCCATCTCCTCTTCCTCCCTCTCCTCTTCCTCCACACCCTCCTCCGTCGCCACCACCACCGCCGCCCACAGCCAAGATCTGCGGCGAGGACGGGGACGTGGACCCCAACTGTTTCCTGCCGGCGCAGGAGCTCGTCTTTCACGAGCTGGAGACGCAGTGAGTGCCTCCCTCACCGATGTGCACACTCACCCGGACGCGCGTTCCGTTTGCCCAGGGCTAGAGGGGGGCCCTCCTCCTCCGGTTTCACTGGCTGGACGTGGCCCGGGACTTGACTTGGTGCGATGTTTTCGCGGTTGTGTCGCGGGACGCAACTCTCCGACGGGTTATTCGGTTGCCGCCACCGTACGTTCGTTCGGGCACGACGTCCGACGTTTCGCTCCGCGCGCCGGAATATTGTTTTTTCGGGATCTGAATGCCAGGAATTGTTACAAACTTAAACACGGTTCCTGAAGAAGCTTCCAGCACGTGGAGCAAAACGTCGGGCATCATGTCGGACATTAAGCGGTGCAGCTCGAAAACACGTCGGTTATTCTCACCACGGCCCATGGCCACGTGAGATGCTGCCGCTTCAAACCGAGCATCTTGAGCCGCTTGTTGCAGGGGAGGAATGCATTCGACCTGGAAACAACACTGTCAGCCTCACACCCAGTCACTGTAACCGCAAGGGCTCCTTACAATGACAGAGGCTGTGTGCCTGTCAATCAATGCCTGTTGTCTTGGTGACGTCTGGGACTGTTTATGCTGCTGTCGTTTTGCTGCTGGAATTGGTGTACTTATGCAATTTGAACTTTATTTTATTTTAAGTATTTAATTGAAGTGATTTCCTTCTCTCCCCTGTACTTTGCAGTCCTGTCGTGTTTTCGTATCGCTTCTACTGTTGTAACTTTCTGACCCGATCCTCCTGGACAATCGGTGAACAAGAGCTTCACAGCTCATCGGATTTCTCCAGGATTATTAAAGGTTCTGAATTCTGAGTGGCCTCGCATGGCTTCCCTTCACTGTTAAGGTCAAGCCGGCCGTGGCGACCTCACGTCGGCACGGCTGTTGTTGCGCCTGCGTGCCATCTCGCCACTACCCCCCGTTGCCCGTGCCAGGTTCTTCCCCCTCTTCCTGGAGAGTTCGCACTTCTGCCGCTACCAGATGGAGGTGCTGACGAGCGGCTCCGTGTGTCTGGGCGACATCCTCACCAGCGAGGGCACGCTCTTCTACTTCTCGGAGGTGGGCAGGCCACCGGCCACGGCCCCTGGCCCCTCCGGCCCCGAGTGTGTAACGATCCGAGAGAAACGTCGGTTGAACGTCCACTAGCCTTGCCTGACCCCTGACGGAACAAAACACTCCGTAATATTTGTTGTTGTTGTCGTGTTAGATCGCTTAAAATAAATGTGGTCGGTAAACCTGCCACCGCCCAACACGGCCAATCAGTAAGTTATGTCTCGTAAGCTAAACATTCAAATTAGTTGCTAGTTCAGCACACCGGTTTTGTGTTGGAGAGTAAACCCACGACGTTTACAATTCGACGTTTCGGCGGTGATCACAACCAGCCTTTTCAGGCGAAAGCCAGAATTGTGGAAACATTTTCCCGTGTCGGTTTTAAAGAGAGGGGGGAGGGATAAAGGCGATATCATCGCTCTGGGCCCATGAGGTGCGAACGAAACAGTCTGGAACAAATCAAAACGCTCTGCTGTACTGCCTTCGTGAAAGATGATTTAAGAAAAATAAAATGTTTTTTGGTATATTGATGGGATGATAAGGTAACGTTGCAACAGAAGTGCCTATCGGTGTGTGGTTAATGGAGGGCCAGATGAAAGCAAGCGTGTCTTCATGGGCCTTGTAAATGATTGAGAGGTGACGTGAATGAAACGACACTGAAGGGAGAGATCCAGCAGGAAAGGATGCAGCCACATAGGTGGCTTGCGGCGTCTCTCCGCCTTCCGTGGCGGTGTTCTCAGTCGGGACAACTTAGCTTGGATGAATGAGTCTCCCAACGTTTCCACTGCATCTAGACGTCCTTGAATTGGTCTGGGTGGCCCAGGGCAAGCCACACCGACACCATCGGCGTTTAGTGTCCCATCAAACCGACCCTGGCCAGGTCGATTGGGCATCACAGGGTTAGGGTTTGTATGCTCTCCTTGTCGGGTTGCGTGGATTTTACTCCGGGACCTCCAGTTTTTCCGTCCACATATAGAATCAACGTCACACGTTTAGAGTATTTGGCTGCTTTAAGTTTCCATGCAATAAGTCACTTCGTCGAGCTATCATTTGTGCCTATACAGCTCAGTGGGCCTTCACACTGGTTTGATTAAAACATTCGTTTAAAAGTTTAAGTTTAGTTTAAAACCGAGTCGCTCAGTGCACCGCCGCTTGTCGCTCTCTCGCAGTTCATGGAGAAGGAGGACGCGGCGGCGTTGCTCCAGTTCTGGCTCGTGGCCCACGACTTCCAGGCCCAGCTGGCGGGGAAGGCCGGCCAGTACGACGGGCAGGAGGCCCAGAACGACGCCATGATCCTCTACGACAAGTGAGTCCGCCGAGAGGATGGGGGGCGGCTCGCCCGAGGATCGTCGCACGCAGCCCAGTGTCAACCCGCCGCGGGGCGAAGGCCTCGCGTGGAGATCGTTCGACCGTACTTCACCACGGCGTGGTTCCTGCACCGTATGATCATTGACATGCGGTCAATGTTTTCTCTCTCTCTGCCTCCCTGATTGCATGCTTGTTACGCGATTTCCTATATATTTTTTAATGCAACTCGCTTCAAGACGTGTCGGCATTTCAGCGCCAAGTTTAAATGTCACTGTGGCACCACTGTCGTTAGATGTTAACTATCTCGCCTGGTATACAGGAGGTCGTGGATTCGATCCCGACCCTGTGACGCCTGTTGTATATTTATAGTTTGCATATTCTCCCCGTGGTCGCGTGAATTTTTCTACGCATCCTCCGGTGTTTTTTCCTCCACATTTAGAATAAACATCACGTGTATTTGGCTGCTGCTATACATTTCCACGTGATAAGTCACTTGGTTGAGTTTAACACTTAGGCTTTCGCGACCAATATTATTCATAATAAAGGTTTTTGGGTTAGATCGCAGATCTCCACAAATCTATCTGTCGCCTGATGAAGCTGGTTGTAATTACTGGCGAAACGTCGTTACTCAGATTGTAAATGTTGTGGCTTGGCTCTCCAACACACCGGTTAGTGCTGTACTAGTACACTATACACTATACACTACACTATACACTACTATACATTACACTATACACTAGACTACTATGCACTACACTATACACTAGACTACTATGCACTACACTATACACTACACTACTATACACTACACTATACACTAGTGCTGTACTAGTGACGAATTGGCACGTTCTGTTTACGTGACAACCCCTACTAGTTGGCTGTGTCGGGTGGTGGCGGGTTTAACGACACATTTGTATATTTACGCGATCTAACCCAAAAACCTCTACTATGTTTTCTTTAAGTTTTCTTTAAGTTAATGCAAATCCTTACGGCTAACCTTTCTATCAGAAACCCAAAACACGTTTGTCAATAACGCTGCCCTAAAAGGAAAATTTTGATATTACAGGTGACGTTTCAGACGTCGTTCCCTTCTTCATCGTAATATCACCATATCGTGGCGACCCTACTGTGGAGCATCGCTTGCCCTTGGACTGCGTGCAGCTAAACGGTGGTGGTGGCGGTGGCGCCGGCGGGGGGGATTGTTGTCTTCGCAGGTACTTCTCTCTGCAGGCCACGTGCCCGCTGGGCTTCAGAGACTCCGTGCGACCCGAGGTTGAATCCAACATCTGCCGGGAGGGTGGCCCGCTCCCTGACTGCTTCTCGACAGCTCTGCGCCAGGCCTACACCACCATGGAGGCTGTGAGTCGCCACTCCCCCCACCCCCCCACCCCCCCTGTGGGCTAGCCAGATGGGCAGACCGGGTGAGATCGGGCACGTTCCAGTCGACGTATGGTATATCGGTCACTTAATGCTGTGCTTGTTGATGACCATGGTTATAAAGTTGTGTCTATTGCCGTGTGCGAACAGGAGCCACTGCCAAAAACAGTCCCTTACACTGCCAAAACGGTCCATCTGCTGGCCCCTGTGCTCCTGCCCAGGTCTACCTGCCTGGCTTCCTGTGCAGCGACATCTACTACAAGTACCTGTCGGAGCTGCTGTATTCGGTGCGCAGCGAAGAGGCGCAGGGGCCAAGCGCCCACGTGCCCGGCCGGGGGGGGGCGCCGCCGCCATCCGAGGCCGTGGGCAACGAGCGCGGGAACCAGGTGAGCAGGCGACGACAGCAGCGACGCCTTGCACTGCGCCGCGGTACACCACGACGCGTTGCATCGTGCCATGTTACACCGTCCCGCTTTACACCCCGGCGCGTGACACCGTCCCGCGTTACACCACGCTACGGTACACTGCCACGGTACACCGTGCCACGTTACATCGCGGTACACTGTGCCACGTTCCATCGCGGTACACCGTGCCACGTGACACCGAAGTACACCGCACCATGGTCCACCGTGCTACGTTACTGCGCGTCCTCCACACCGCCACTCGACGTCCGCAGCACGGCGTTGCTGCCCACACGGCGGGTGGTGGAGCGCAGCGTGGGGCACGCTCGCGTTAACCCCGCTCGCTCGCTCGCACGCCTGCCCGCTCGCTCCGCAGGCCAACAGCAACAAGAAGAACCTGGTGAAGATCCTCAAGAACTTCGACGAGGACATCACGATCGACGCCAAGAGCCTGGAGCCGGAGTCTCTCTACTACAGACATTACGCGGGGTGCGTGTGCGCGTGTGTGTGTGTGCGTCTTGGTTCCGTACTTGTGTGTGTGTGTGTGAAGCGGTGGCGCAGTGGTTAGCGCGCCGCGCTACAAACCCAACGACCCGAGCTCGATTTCCGCTCACGGCCAACACCAGTGACGATTATCTGAACTGGTCATGGGCCTATCCTAGATTGACTCAGCCTCAAATTATTATCTGGTGTGGTGTGTCAAGCATCGCCACTGGGGAGACAAAGACGGTCGGGCGTAGTCCTGGCCAACCAACCCCTCGTGTGCCGTGCCGGCCTTCAAAAGGTGCTACTCGCTAACAGCACTTGCCCCAGCAGTCTGTTAAGGCTGTACGGGGGATCCTTGTCTTTGTGTGTACGGCAGTGTAGCGATTAGCGCGTTGTGCTGTGAACCCGGCGACCCACGTCCGAGTCCCACTCAAGGCCACCAGCAGCAGATTGTTGCGAGACTTAACAGTATTTTCATCTAACGGAAGTCACATTCGCGAAATCCCCCAAACCGAACCTGCACAAAGCGAGGGAGAGCTGTGCGAATGTATTTCCCCCCACCCTCTTCTGCACTTAATAATCTTGTTCACAAAGTTCTGCTTCGTGGGGCCTAGCCCACCTTCGGTGGTGTAAACGTACAATTATTGTGCACACTTTTGGGATGCAATCGTGTCGATGACGCTGTACAAAATGTAACTAATATTATTATTCAATTATAGACTCTTGGTACAGCGAGGACGGTTAACATTACATTCCTATAGGTATCTTACACATTTTTGACGAGTGAGGGTGATAACGTTCGATTGTGTGGCCACAGTGAAGCCATTATGACATCGGTTAGCGGCAGTATATTGTAATAGTAGTTTAACAAGCATTTACAGGTCTCGATCGATCCGCTGCTGGATGAAAGCAGCTTCCCCTCGCCGTGTCGGCCGTGCGGGTTGTTTGTCCATACTTCTCCACACTGAGCAGCGCAATTATGGTGAATGGGTTGGCCCAGTTCCGGTTCTGATTTCGTTTGCCGCCGATGTTAGCCCTGACTGGGAATCGAACTCTGGTTGGCCAGTTCACTGGCCACCAATCCACTCCGACAGTGCCTTGTACCGCATGCTAACGTGTGTGTGGCCGCACACGTTGGCGGTAATCCTCGGGCTCGTGCGGTAACTGTGCCTGCTGACATGTGTTACCCTCTGCCTGCCTGTCTGCTGCTGCTTGTTGTTGTTGCTGCTGCGGCAGGAAAATGTCATTTGGGAGGATCAACAACCTCGGGCAGTTTGTCAAGGAGTCGGAGCCAAATCCTGACGGGAAGAAACCCAAAGGTGAATAGAGAGTGTGTGTGTGTGTGTTCACGCAGTGCTGGCTACCCACCCCCTTGTGTGCCGTGCCGGCCTTCATATGCGCTGCTCACGAACAGCACTTGTCCCCCAAATGTCTGTTGACACTATACAGGGGATCTTTGTCTTTATAATCACGATCATGATCATTTCCGATGAGCAGTCCACTATTGCATAAAGGCCTTCCCAAGTCATCGCCATTTCTCAAAGTTTCGTGATGCAAAAAATCGTCTAGCTTCTCCACAAGCGCTGATTTAATCCGCTCCATCTCCACGGTGGAAATCCTCTCCGGCGAGTTCCTTCCATTGGTTGCCCCTCCTGTCCCCGTCCCCTTGACCCACCGCCCCATCGTCCCTTCAGGCGGTGCATCGCTCTCCTGCCCAAGCTCACCTTTCTCAACAGTCAATTCGGTGTCTCTAGCTTTCGCATTATCTCTCGTAGAGACTCTGCACGTACGCGAGGGATGTTTGTGGGATCGATGTGTCGTAGAAATTACAGTGCGTCTTATAGATGGCTAAAGTTTATTTTGGCCGCAAGCTCTCACTGGGAAGGTTTTGAGTTATAATCCCGATCACGGTATATCGACGGCAGTGATGATGACATACGTAAGCATCATCCTCATCCTCATCGGGGGTGAGAGAGCAGCACCTGACCGGCAATAAAAAAGTTGTGAGTTTACATATTATTGGTTGCGAGTCAGCTCATCATCTCTCTGGGGTCAGTAAAATGAGACCTACATACTAGTAAGTTTAGACTGGGATAGTGAATATCCATCAAGATATGTACGTATGTGTGTCGAACTTCTTTCGCACCGCACGTAGCCAACCGTGCTAATCGGAGGTGCCGGGGGAAGGACAACACACTTAACACAGAAAGCAGTTGTAAAGAATTTAGTTTTCAATGTATATGTTAAAATGCCATAGCTGCAGTGACTTCCTAATAGATTCACAGGGACGAATAGAAGCCAACACGCATGCGAGAATGGGGTCACTCGAACTAAATCAAGTTCAGCCCTTTCTTAATCCACTGCTGGATGAAGGCCTCCCTCCCCACACGGTGTGTTTATCGTGGGGGTGGTTTGACTGCAGGTCACCTCGTTGGTTCAGGTGGCGGCGGGGGGGTAGCCCAGGACCGGTCCAGACATGGCTCGCGACTGATGTTAGCCGTGACCGTTAATCCATCGTGGGTCGCTGGGTTCACTGCTCCCTGCTCTAACCACTGCACCGCAGCCGTTGCCTGCGCCTGACCAAGCAGATCCAATTAACATTCAGGAACGCACAGTGCTTCTGAATGATTATCGTGTCGATTGGTGTAAAAACTCTCCATCCGATTTAGAAACGTCCTGCACGTCCCCTAAGGCACTGCCACGGTCCTCCGTGGCCGATCGCCTACGCTCGCGGCAACGGCACATCACACACTGGAGGGGGGCCCCGCAGTCAACGTAGTTAATTGGGTCTGCTGCCCCAGCAAAGAAACAACACAGTTTGTGTTCATTCTCAAATCAAGTGCCCCGGTCGCTAGGGTTGTGCTCCCAAATTTTTGAATGAGTCAAGTTTCATGTTGTTTACATACGTGCGGTGCCTTGCTGGTACAAATCTGCCACTTAAAACATCATCACATTAAAACTCTTCACAATTACAAGCAAATATATATTTACAAACTATCTACAGTTGTTTAAAGTAAATATAAAACATTTAGAAAATCTGGACCGGATACCAAATTTTGGACGATCAGAAAATATGATTTGTTTCGAACAGATCTGGAAACTTGATGTGGCGTCATGGATATGACGTCACCGCCACGCTCCAGGTGCCGTAGCTGCCATTAGCACGGAGTCCTTGTGCGGGGGGTGCGGGGGTGGAAGTGGTCCCAATATCCCAAAGAAAATCCCGAATTGTCCTTAAAGATTTTAAAATCTGAAACCGACGCCAATTAGGGCAGCGCGCTCCGTGTGATGCCATCACATCTCATCTGTATGCATGTACAGGCTGTTATCCTATAACGCTGCGTGCTTTTATGATGCAAATTGGATATAACGCGATTGAGTACGGCTGCCTCGACGTAGCATCACACACAAGGCAGTGGGATGCTGCGTCTAGATGCTACCCATGCACCTCTGTCTTTGTTCAGCCTGCGTACGCATCTCACGTGTTATCGCGGACTGTGCTTTACCCTATGTTATATGTTATTTATGAAAACGCGAATTTTGCATAACGTGGTGTTCTTCAGAAACGCAACTACCACGTTATAGGAGAACAGACTGCATGTTGAAATTCTTCCGCACAGGACGTAGCCAATTGCGCTAATTGGAGTTTTCAATCTAGATGAATTACAAGTTGCATAGCTCCAGTAGCTTCCTAATATCGGAAAGGAGAGCGTTCCAGACGGCTACAGAAGCGCACCTGAAAGCTCACGATGCGGTGACCACCGTCTTCATTCGATGGCTAGCCAAAAGCCGCCGCTGCTGCTGCTGCTGCGAGGATGACCGGAGTTTGCGTGGTGATGGTTTTATGCTCCTTGACTCATGGTTTCTCATTTCGACAGGATCTCTGTCACAGGTCATGAAACGATGGGTGCAAGGAACCACCGATGAGGTAAGAGTTGGCCACATGGGAAGCTCAGCAGGTTTGAGCCTGGGATTGTGGTTGTATCGGTGGCTACCTTGCACATCGGGGTGGTATAGGCGGCTGCGGGAGCAGTGGCTTATGTGGTGATGAGCAGAGGGCAGTGGAGCAAAATGCATTGTTGTACAGTACTTCCACGCCACCCGCATCTACACTCGCGCATCTATAACTCCCCTCATTTACCAACTCGCACTGAGCAGAGTGACGAAGTATGGTCGAATAATACCCACGACCCGCATGGTGTGCGGAGGCCATCATCCAGCAGTGGATTGGCAATGGGGCTGTGCTGTGTACAGTGCCTATTCAGAATTGGAATCTGAATTTTCATTTAGAGTGCAGGAGGAGAAATCCGGTGAGCTACGAAGATTTTTTTCACAGATGTCCAGTAGGGGGCGGGTCAGCGGGTTACAACGTTTTTGGGTCGTCGTGTTGATGAATGGCCTCAAGGTTATTCTGTAATTTCCAGAGGTGAAAAGGGCACTCCGAGCTTGCTCTATGAGTTGACTTTCGCATCGAGGTCGTGTTTTGTGAGAATGCATTTGCATCTGGAATTGCATTTCCCATTCTGTGCGTCAGCCGCAGCGATGGCCAAGTAAACTTCTCCGCTCCCCACATTGGCGAGATGTTAACTGCCTCGCCTGGGATAGAGGTCGTGGGTTTGATCCCGACCCTGACGCCTGCTATATATTTAGAGTTTGCATGTTCTCCCTGTGGTCGTTTGGATTTTTCTCCAGGTCCTCCGGTTTTGCCCTCTACATTTAGAATCAACATCACGCGTTTAGAGTATTTGGCTGCTATAAATTGCCACGTGATAAGTCACTTCGTTGAGCTATCATTTGTGACCAGGTCGCTTCTAAAAAAAGAGCTACATAGCTCAGTGGGCCTTACCTGATAAAATACAAAATTGTTTAAGTTTTAACTGAAGATTCATGCAAGAAGTGTGCATCTTGTTGATGCAAACCTTTGACCTCCCCCCGTTCGATGCGACCAGGCGCAGGAGGACATGGCGTGGAGGGTGGCGCGGATGATCGTCGGCGAGATCGTGCGGCAGAGCGCCACGCTGCGGCCCCCCGCGCCACCGCCGGTGCCAAGCGGAGCGGTGGAGGCTCCCGGGAGGGACCCCGTGATGTAGGTGGAGAGTGGAGGGTGGCACGGCAGGGCCGCACGAACAGTCGCCCCTCTCATTCATCAGCACGCACTGGGCAGGGGTAGGGGGGGGCAGTGGCGTAGCGCGGTTGGTCACTGGGAGCTATGCACTTTTAAAAGTAAATTGAAAAGTAATTTATTTAGAAATGCTTTTTGTGTTTAGTTAGCTGTCCTTTCCCCGCACCTCAGATTGGTATGGTTGGCTACGTATGGTGTGAAAGAAGTTCAGTGTATGTTGAAGTTCAATATACATTACGTCTGTAGGTTGTATGTTAGTCTATGGCTTCTGTGATAATCTGTAGGTTGTATGTTAGTCTATGGCTTCTGTGATAATCTGTAGGTTGTATGTTAGTCTATGGCTTCTGTGATAATCTGTAGGTTGTATGTTAGTCTATGGCTTCTGTGATAATCTGTAGGTTGTATGTTAGTCTATGGCTTCTGTGATAATCTGTAGGTTGTATGTTAGTCTATGGCTTCTGTGATAATCTGTAGGTTGTATGTTAGTCTATGGCTCCTGTGATAATCTGTAGGTTGTATGTTAGTCTATGGCTCCTATGATAATCTGTAGGTTGTATTTTAGTCTATGGCTCCTATGATAATCTGTAGGTTGTATGTTAGTCTATGGCTCCTGTGATAATCTGTAGGTTGTATGTTAGTCTATGGCTCCTATGATAATCTGTAGGCGGTATTTTAGTCTATGGCTTCAGTGGTGTAGCGTAGTTGACACGCCCCCCCCACCACACTCGTCATCATTCACCCCTCCCTGTAGCCCAGTGCCTGGGCATCTACACTCTGCGGACCTCGGTGCAGTTGCACCGCCTGCGCACTCGATAGCTCGCCCCACTGTGGGGGCGCCAGAGCTGGGCGCTCGGGATCGGCGTGCACACACAACAGCCCCAACCTAGTGGGCTCACCAAACGGCAACGACTCGTCACCTGGGGGTTGCGTTTAGGGTTTTTTTCTGTTTTCGGGACCAACCCTTGACGTTTTGACAGAAAAAAAGTAGCATTGCTGCTTCACTCGATGTTTCAGCAACTTGCCTTTGACCGGAAGACACGTACGTATGTGCGTCGAACTTCTTTCACACCGTACGTAGCCAACCGTTCTCATCGGATCACATGGCGGTTGCGTGTTTGTGGATTTGCATGTGAACAAGTGTAGAAGCGTCGTAATGATTCTCTTTTAACACAGCGGAGTGCGAGAAGCTTGGCCGTGTCACACCGTGCTCGCCGCGGTAACGGTCGGATTCGTGTTTCGACATTCGCAGCCATTGGCGGTGTTGCATAAACAAGCGCCTTTGCGAGTGTTGTGCCACGATTAAATTTACAGGCAATAATGCAGCTTTCTTACGCAGCGTTCAAAGTCGTTGGCTTCGTTTGTTGTAGAGTTCTACTGAACTGCTCACTCCGAGCTTGCCTCCGTTGACGCCCTCAAGTTTTTATGAAAATATTTTATTCATGAACGTCTGACTGGGTCCAAAGACTCGTTGCCAAGGAGGTCCAGCCCTGGGATGTTTGGCCGGTTCATCCTATCAATGCACGTGTCGCGCACGCAGAATGAAACCCAGGAAAACCTGTGTATGAGGGGAATAACACTCAAATGTCGGACACAGACCCACTCGCTGTCCTGCCGTCAGCTCTGACCCGCAGGCTGGGAGTCTTGTGTTTACACGCTGATCGAAGTGAGCCATCAATTGCTGGGTTATAGGCGTGCACCGCCATCAGACAATGACTCCTTGTTTTGACATATTTAGTAAAAAAATATTTGTTTCCCCATTTATATCACGATTGTGCTATGTGTGTCATGGCATGAGATACGAGTATTAATTCTGATCTCTGACAGAGCATTACAGCCTGTGGAAGCAGACATCGCCAAACTGCTTCTGAGGTCCTTTAATTAGCACGCTTGGCTACGTATGGCGCGAAAGAAGTTCAACATACGTACATACAAGTTCATCGTTATAGGGAAGAAGCGCAGCTGGGTCGCGCCTGCGCAACCTTGCCGGCCGTTGTGGTAACGGGCGGTTCGTGTTCTCCCCCTCCCGCAGAAGCGGCGGCACGGCTGAGCCCGGCGCGACAATCGTCCAACGAGCGGAGCCCCCTGCGCGGTGCCGACCATCCCCGGAGAGCAGTGGCGCGCGGCCTTCGCACGGCCTGCGCACCGCCGCCGTCGCCGCTGCCACGCCCGGACCCCGTGCAGCCAACAAATAAATAAATGTCTCCGCGGTCTACGACACAGAGGCGGCCAAACCGCGGGTCGCGAGCCATTGCAGTCCACCTGCAGCTCGATCGAGACGCAGCTCATTCATTTTTTTTACTTTTTGAAAGAGGAGAAATCTGCAGAAGCAGGAACGGTTTTTTGGTGCACTCCACCCCTGGCAGCTGAGCCAAACAAGAGTACCCCGCTGGGGTGCTGCCGCAGATTTATAAGTTTCAAAACTCCATGGACAACCAGCGTGCGAGCGAACCATGCGCGTGACCCGCTCCGAGCATGTGGTTCTTCTTGGCCGCATGGCGATGTTGGTACCGTGGCTCGTAGTGTCAGGAAGTTTGGCCACTCTTGGTCCATGACCTCAAGCGTCCATCTGTTGTTTGTTGTTTCTGTTTCGAAACCGTGACTGCCAAACTCCACGCCTCGTGACGCCACCCACTGTTACATGTTACTACAGCCCTTGTATCAGTTCACGGCAGGATGAAGGCCACTGCACCGTGCGGGGTCGTGGAAGTTATGCGACCGTACATTGTCACGCTGGTCGGTGCACGTTGGAGAAGGCAGAGAGAGCCGAGATGTGGGAGCATAGTACATTACAACAATGGATTTTGCTACACTAAACCGCTGCTGACGGCCACGTGACCTCACAGCCACATGATACGACTTGCCGGTACGGTCCGTGAAAGCGATTTCACAATACATCGCCTCCACGCGGTCCGCTTGTGCATTTTTACCGATCAATGCAATCGATGGTCGCACCTTTGCCATCGAAACCTGCTTATCGGCTAAAATTAAATCCCGGATTTTGCGTGAGGGCTTGGAATGGAGTTTTGCGACCCGGATTGGACTCCCGGCACTGTTTTAAAACAAAGGGGAACAAAACCAGCGAACAAAAGCTGACGGCACTCCTTCCTTTCGCGTGCGTGCGTACGTGTTGGCGTGCGTACACTCGCACGCACGCGGCCCGTCCACGCGGTCTAAATGAGTATGCTTCTTTTATAAAGATTTATGAGCGCGCGGCTGAATGTTCCCGTGAGCCGCCCGCCACCGTCGCTGCTGCTGTGTGTGGTCGTGGTGCGCCATGGGCGGCGACGAGTCTGTACATAGCGCGCAGCGGTGCAGGACGCGGCCTCACCGAGCCGCCAATCGACGCTTCCTCGTCAACGTTTGTGAATGTTCCGTGACCCCTGGTGACCCCCCCCTGCTCCCTTACCCTCCCTCCTTAGCGCTTAACTCGATCCCATTCAAGGTGAGAAGACTGAATTATTGTTACGAGCGATTCCTTATAGTTTTTTATTGAAATTAATTATGTAAATTATGAATTTACTCTTGTTGATTTGTTTCAATTGCACGAGGGTCGTTGTGGTCGTGTGATCTGTACGGCCGTGCTGTACCTTTGCTTATTGCACATCTTCCATACGTGTGAAATTATGAGAATAAAAAAACAAAGTCAAGAAAAGTGGTTAAATGAAAACTCAGGCGCTTTAACGAAGACAATGAAATGGCAAGTGCAAGCGTGCGGAATCCCGTTTCGGCCGGTGTGGTGTGGTAGTCGTGAACCTGCGCTTGTCGGCTTCACTCCAGGGCAGTCTCGCTTAGGCCCTCTCGGAGTAGCGTCTACCACGAACGTGACGTTCGCAAACCATCAAACCTTTTCGTCGTCTATCGCCGGTGTTTCCGCACTCCAAGACCAACTGCGTTGATTACGTTTGCTCTACCAAGGACCAATGCCGGGATTTGACTTTGTCGCCGTGGTTGTTGCTACTCTACAGGTTTCCACGGCGGTATGTGCAGACCCAGAGGTGTGTTTACAGTGTCCATATATACAGTTCGCTATATATACACACCCCCGCGTGTACAAAATATGCTTGAACTTGAACGGGAGAAAATATTTCATCTCTGCAAGAGAAAAAAACCTCGAACGAATTTACTTGCACAGCGCTGCGTCGCGGATGCGCTTCGTCAAATAAAACGAGGACATTTAAACCCCAACACGACTCGCGCTTGGAGACGTCCCCATCGCGTTTTGTGGCATCACATTTCGTGTTCCCGGGCCGCGCGGCGCTCCTAAAGCCAGGCAATGGCACCGCTCGGCTGCGGGTCCATATGCTCACGAACCGCCAGAGAGGATCGGTGCTACGGGTGAGAATTATTTTTATGACCGCATATTTAAAGATTCCCTTGGTCACGTGGTCTGAATGTGTGCACATGGGCATCAGCCGTCCAGATATTTCTTGGACGAGGCTGAACAGACTGGCTGTGTGGCAATGGGAAGCTCTGTGTCTGTATGCCGCCCCTACGACTGCAATGTGACTTTCGGGAGCTGCCCAACAAGACGACAGCAGCACGCTCCCCTCCACATGAACGACTGTCCCTTACGATGGCCAGAAGGTGGCGTGAGAAGGCCGATTGGACCGGAGCAGTGTGGCGCGCGGATCCAGTCCAGTGGCTCGCGATGTCGGACATTCGATGGCACATGTGAGAAGAGCTGATGAGAAGGTCATCTTGCCCGTTGGGAATTGTGTACATGTTGTACAGTAACGTATAGCGTGTATGGAGATATATGTGTGTATATTCATAAGTGCACTTGTGGCGGTATTCATTGCTGATTGGTTAATTAAAGAGGGATTTTTGTTTTCTCTCCCACAAGTAAATCGGGGCCCAGCAGACTGTCGGCACATGATTATTGAGGGGCCTGAGTTAGAAATGCCAACCAGCTATAGCATCAAGTGGTGAGAAAATGTTAGGCTAAAATCTACATACAGGGGCTCCTCCACTTTTATAAATTTAAATTATTACTTAGGCACATTCGACTTACGAAATTTCCGAGATACATACAAACCTGTCCTTATGTCCACTTGCCTGTTCGGACCGAGGGTCGTAAGTTCAACCGCCGTGCAAATGATGGCGGTGGTGACATCTACATCTGCAGAACGTGAAGAGCCAGTGGAATCTACAGGAGATTATTCCACTTTTACAGCCATTCCCCATGTTTCGTGTACATTCCGTACATGTTCGGAATCGACAGGAGTAAAGTTGGACTTACGAACAGACCTCTGGAACCAAGTTCGTAAGTAGAGGAGTCCCTGTGTACATGAACCCCACGATAGGAATGTGGAATGCCTACCACTGGCTCAGGGCCACCAATGGCGATGAGGAACTACCACACACTCGTTTGAGAGCAGCTACAAAAATTCGGTATCAGAAAAAAAAACATGGTAGATAATCCGAATTTTACTTATGGGTGTTATTTTGATGGCAATTATCTAGTTTAACAAATATATGGTTCGTCTGAATGTCCGACACCACCGTGATATTGTACGATCGTTCCTAATTGGTTTACATACTGTGCCCAAGTAAAAAATGTACTTTGCGGTTACGCTAATGAATTACCCACGTCTTAAAAAAATGTCCGAAATCTACATCTAAAATCAAGAACTGCCGTTCAGGAAATCTGAGCAGGTTTAAGCGTGCGTTCGCAGTTGAAGTTGGAAGGAGCGATAAAATACAGTGGACTTTAAATTCTTTATAAAACAACCCCCACGGCCAAGTGGTGTTTCTCACTTCCGTGAAAAGCCCAGGTACATGTTTTCATACAGCCGATATGCACAATGGATAAGATAAATGTTGACATATCAGACGTGATTCTTCTGCCCCTTGTCGCATGTATTGCATGTACCACTTAAGACACTTCTCCGCACATCGGCTCCCGCCCTGAATCTGGAGACGTATTGGTCGTGGAGATGAGATGATTTCAAAGATATAAGGCATTTGATGACCCCTCCATACCACTCTCCGCTGTCAGCGAGAGCCCAACAACCGGGTTCTGGTCGCCGTTGCTGGGGTTGTTTTTTTGCAGACGATCGATCGTATGCGTTACAATCGTACGCCGTGCGCGCCCTCGGATAATGACAATGGGCACATAATTGTTTTGCAATATGCCTGGTACAAATTTAAGAAAATTCCAATAAAATATATGTAATTATGATCTTTATTTTTTAAGACAGCTTTTGTGCACTCAAGTTTTTTTTATGTCACCTGTGGATAGGTGTAGGATGCTCATTATTTTAACCTTGCAGCCTTCTATTCGGTGACATTCCACCTTAATTAGGTGATACTGTTTTGTGCACCAGATGCTGTCAACCACTGGCAGACCTTGTGGAAATTACAACGGTGTGAATCCAGTGGAGCATATAGCTGCCGACTTGTCAACAGACATGAGCAGCCTTCAACTCTTTAACATTAACTCGTAATTTCACGCCCATCCTACCATCAATTAGGGCCCCTCACGTTCAGTACCCGTGCTTAAAATCGTCAGCCGTGCACGGTTCCTCGTCGTGACAACACTGGCGAAGATGAGGCCATCGTCTGCTCTCGCTCTGGGCCTGGTCGATAGCCCCGCCTCCCCCCCCCCGAAAGGTTTACTCACCAACATTGGCATGAAATTCAGCGTGCGGACAGCAGAGGGGGTGGTATTCCACACGTCTCGTTCACCTCACCAGCATCGAGTCAACGCAATAACCTTTGCTGCCGCATAACGTCCTTGTTTACCCATGCTGGAAACTTAAATGTTCACCATGCTGACCATGACATAAAACATTTCCAGCAATTTGTCTCTGTAAATGGTCACAACTTGCCAGATGCGGACAATGGCATCGATTAAATAATTAAAGACCAGTTTCTTGGAGGTCAGCTTCCTCTAAATTTTTGGATTAGATGAAAATAAAGGGCCAAATTTTACAGCCATTCTTGACCAACTGCGAGCTGAATTGCCTTTGGTAAACGTTGCTTAACTGCCCACAACGCGAAAAAAATCAATATGTAGATGGTTCTTCCTCGGAACAACACTAGTTCCCACATTGCATGGACCCAAGCAACAAACACTGACACATTCCGACAAGACTCTATGAAGATCTTTATTTACAAAATATAACGCCTCTTCTACTGAAACGCACAAGTACAAATAATTCAATTGGACGTCAAACAGTACATTCAGTCTCATCTACCAAGAAATTGCACAAGCAACACATCCTTACGCATAAACCCTCGGTTTTGTTGAAAACAAAAATTGTACAATCTTATGTTTTTACTTTTCTCAAAAAAAGCCTAAATCTCCCAACAACCTTTCTGAAATTCACCGAATTGACAAAATGCATGTCTACGTTTTGCCCTGACAACACACATTAAAGCAGAGGGGTGAATCGAAAACACAGTGGGGGCTTGCTGCAAGAACGTCTAGTCAAGTATTTTTTTTCGTGGACTTCAAAAGTGCGGCTGGTCACACGACGCAGTAAGAAACAGCAGTGCCCTCGGTAATGCTCAACCCTTTCACCTGAAATGAGAAAGTAAACTCCAGTGCAACGGTTTTCAACTCTCTTTTATCGTCGGAACAGGTGGCTCGTGGTGCCATGATTCTACGAGGTCACGGTGGAGGCTGGGGTACTGTTGTGTACGGGTTAGATTAGGGGTGGCACCACTTTGGATGGACACAAGACATGCACTTGGCTTTCAATGAGCTTGCTGCATGGAGGCTATGCCAGCTTCACCAAGGGCCATTTAACAACTGAAACCAGGAACAATCTCAAGCCCACACAACTCGCAGCAATTAATGCCCGCTTTTTTTTTGTGAATGATGTACGTACGTTCTTAAATATAATTTTGCCCAGGAACATCAAAGACTTCATTTGAGTGGTGTTACGGAGAATATTTAACTCGAGGTGAAAGGGTTGAGAGAGGAATTGAATCAAAACTGATTTTCTTCTTCTGACACTGAAGCCAGTAATACACATTGACACCTGCCAAATTCTACAGGGGTCCATCAAGTCACCCCTTCGATGCATTAACAGGCAGCGGCGAACTTCAGGGCAAGCTAGAGGGTGGGCAATATGACCATTCAAGTGGTCAAGATTCACCCAGTGCAGGGCAGGCGTGGTGGGAGACGTGCTGCCCAAGCATTACTTGGCTACTCTAAGTGACCTAATCTTAAAGAACTGTACAATACACACCGTCCGATCAGCTCATTGGCCAGGAAAACTACACATTGCCTACACTTCCCCACCCTGAAGTCCGCCAAACTTAACAAGGATTGCGGTGAGCAAGTTGTCCTTGGAACAGAGGATGCCGTTTGTGGCTTAGCAGTGATGCGGTGTTGAGTGTCCGTGACAAAATATCCGGTGGTGGGATGTTCGAAGCGCCTCAACTTTGCAAATGGAGTCTTGTGAGATCTCCCTTGGTGCGACCTGTGGCCTAGCGCCACCCACCAAACCAGCAGCTCTTCTCGCCCGCCAATGTGTTTTTTTTCCTCTTCGTGACGTCGTTACAGAATTCGTGATATTTATCAAAGAGAACAATTGTTGTGATGTAAATTTTCAACAAGCCTGTTTAAAAAAAAAAGCTCCCCCTCTTTTAAGTGGAGAACATTAAGAGGTGAGGGAGCTTTGTGAATGCAGCCACGCGCCAAGTGCAAACGCCCTCTTTGATTATTCCCCAGACGTGCCGCTGGCGGCGCAAACAGCCAGCCGTGTAAAGAGCGCAAGAGAGATGGGTGGAGAATACAAAACCCAACAGCCGAGCAGCACAGGCTGCATACACACACTGAGACGGGGGGGCGTTCCCACACTTGCCACAAAACCCAGTCCCATGGTTGCAAAGTGACCCGATAAGAGTTTCTTAACGCTGTTCTATACGCGGCTGGGTTGTGGCCAGCCAAGTTAGTCGCACATTCCTGATCATCATCTACCATCAATGCGCACTACCGTGAGGCCGGTAGACCCTTGCAGCCTCCCCGGCAGGTGCTTGTACGAGTGGGCATGTGCGTATTTCATGTCGCAACGGGCGCGCATCATCGATGTGCTTCATGCGTCTGAGATTGATTTCTAAGCGAACGTTAACACATGTTCACGTGCATGACTCGCATCTCCACGAGCGCGTGTGTGTGTATTTCATGTTTCCGTGGGTGTCCGAGAGTGTCCGTGTGATGTGCCCTGTGTGTTGTGCAGCACCAGGGTTTACTGGCCACCGTTGTAGGCATAGTCCGCCTTGTTGTGCATGATCAGCTTGTTGTCCACAAAGTAAAAGCTGTCGGAGCGTGTCTCGTACGGGTGGGCGATCATGTCCCGCACTACGGGGTGGGGGTGAAAGAGGGGGGGAAGAGGTGCAGTCGACAGTTAGACGGGGATGAAGATTTTTGCAAAACTGGTGAATAATGCACTTCGCTAGAATAACACTCCTCTTTATAAAAAAAACCCTCTTATTATGAACGCAGCTCCACTTACTGCCGCAAGCTCCACTTCATAAAAAAATGCCACTTAATTACGTAAGCGCACTCTAATGCAACTCCACTTAATAAAGTGAACTCATATCTTCCAGTCTACACTGCTAGTACAGCGTTATCACAGCCTGGTTTTTGCCACTGTGCCATCCGAGGCATTGTAAACAGATGATCACCAAATAATTAAACGCAGCAACCACATAACATGTGTAATGGATTATTTTACTTCAATCAAGTGCGAGTTTATTTTGTGTGGCCAGTGTTGCCATGAACACACCCTCAGCATTATACTAAGTATTAAAGTAATTTATTGCAGTATTAAGTTGAGCGCAGTGAGCACCACAGGCATCTAATTTCATGTGGTGACCATTGATCGCTGTAGACATTGCTTCACTGAACATACACTGCAAATTGTTTCCCAGACAATAAATAACGCCTATTTGCACACTGCCAGTCATCAAATTCTATCTGGCATGTGTCGGATCTCGGCAAATCGCAGAAGCTAAGCAGGTTAGAATATGGATAGTGCTTGGATGGGAAACCATTATGCATAAAACAGGTATCATAAAGCTGCTGTGGGGCTACCTTGTCAGCAGAGGGAAATACAGCAAAATACATTGTTGTACTGTACCATGCTCCAACATCTGTGCTCCCCCTACCTTCATCAACCCACATTGAGCATGGTTAAATAACCACCACTGTATAGGGAGGTCCCTCATCCAGCAGTGGATTGAGAAATACATTTATAGTCCTTATAAATCAGCTAGCCGGGATGTAATGTGCATTCGAGTGTCTGCGTTAAATGGCTCAATATTCACAACGTCCTCACGTTCATAACAAACTGTGCGACAACTAAAAAAAATGCTCCGTGAGCCACTGCACAGTAACCTCTTGAACTGCCCCACGCCCAGGGCGTTTCACAGTGAGGCCGCATGTGGCGTGGCCAGGACAACGGGAAAACTACAAGTATAACGCCGCAGCATTTTCTACAAACAATATCCGTGTGGTCTAACACTCACTCTAAGAAAACAAGGGCAAACCACACACTTAAATATGGAGACAAACCTCTCCCCACTCACAGGCATAGCAAAGTACTTTTGTTGCATAAGCATCGGGGAAAAAACGAATGTCTCCGAGCCGTTGGGTGTTGAAAATTCAGATGCTGCGGTGTCATCACTGTGTGTTTAAGAAACAAGTAATGGTCGTTGAAAGAGCACTCTTTTTAGCTAATAAAAAATGACACCATGACTACCAGATTTCCATGATTACAAGACTCTAGAAAGTAAGAGGACCCGGCAACACATGAAACCAGGGTGTAAAATATAAACTTACAAATCCAGAGTGGATGCTGGGCAAAGAAAAGTGTTTTATATAATAGGAATAGAGACAGGACTTTGTAAGGCAGTATTCCAGAAGACAATTATGAACACTTCGCTTTAAAATAGGTAGGTGTCCTTGTGGAAGATTATCCTGAACGTGGTATTCTGCTCTCTGCATGATAATGCATCTTTCTGGATGGTAATGTATTTACTGAAAGATGATTCTGAACAACGAGATTAAATCGTCTTTTAGGTGAAAAATCTTTATCCCTGACCCATGCTAATAAAAAAATTGTGTATTATTTGGAATAATACATCCACCCTCCAACTTTTGCTTTAAAATACCATAATAAAGTATGTTGTGCAATGTAGAGAAAACAATTAGTCTTATGTTTACACAGGAAAGCCTCACTTAGTTTCAAAACTGTTCTTTCAGGAAGGCCATGCTTGGAATGTTGGCTAATTGCTCAAATATTTTGATTGTGGAAGGACACTGAAATGCTGGGAAAAACCCAAACACATTTGCTCATCGAGTTATCAAACCTTCACACATGCTCATGCTTCCAAACTTTACTCAATGTTACATACAATTGCAAAGCCCCAAAAATGGATAAATAACCAGCTGTACCATATTCTTTGGTTCTCTCGGTAAAGTCACGTAGATAGAAACGTCGTGAGTTTTTTTTGTTTGTTTTCTATCTACGTGACTTTGCCGAAAGAGCCAAAGAATATGAATTCCTGCAGTCATTAAAGTTTGAAATCAAAATTCGCCTTACCATACAAAAAATGATGGGCGAGCAAAGAGGGTTTAATAACTTAGCTGTGTAATTTTATACATATTCTTTTTTTCCCAGGATTTCCTGTATACTGCACATTCGAACTGCTTTGAAAGTATTTGGCCGAACATTCTTAGCAGAGCCCTCCTGAGAATAAACAATTAAAACTAAACCTCGATTTTCTGGACACACAAAGGACTCGGTAATTGTGAACTTGTATTAATGTGCTCCGCATTGTTGTATTCCATCCAGCAAATCACCTCGCAGTACGGCAATTTACTTCAATGGATCCCCCGTCGTCACCGTAACCATTGGCGTTGACCAAACACTGGAGATGTTTACACGTCACGGACCACGAGAAAAGTGCAAGGGGCGGGCAGGGAGCGCCAACGGGACCACATGCAGGGACATTGTGGGGAGGGAGCCCCGAGTCAACACGAGCTATTGGGTAACCGTGTGACAGTGCAGACAAAAGGGGCTTTGTGAATAATTAACAAGGAAGCATAACTCAACCGGTGTTCAAGCAGGTGACAGAAGTTGACGGGACTGAACTGTGCAAGCTGCAGCAGTCCAAGCAGTCACATAGCACACTTTCACTTAATGGCCGTCAAGTGGACCTTTTGGTGAACGTTAAACATTTTCATCATCACGCGCAATGGGCAGAGAGCCCGTAGTAGGTGTCCACTGCACATTACGTTATTCATTTCCACTTTCCTCTCTCTTGTTAGGTCTTCCTCTCATTCCGGTTCCTTCCATTTTTCCCGAACAACACACTTTTAATCTTTCTGTTGTTGTCCATCCTATATAATGTGTCCAAATAGTGCCAGTCTTCTTCTCACTATCTGAAGCTGTTCAGGCCAAGAGACCAGATGTAACATGTGAACAAAGCGAAGCTATTGCATTGAGACAGTCACACTTTGGTGCGTACTAACAATTACAGAAAGTCAAGAGGTCCACTTCTAAGTCTCTTTTTCCCCATTTACATTAGTGATAACGTGAATGCGTCCTTTAATTATGTTTACCATGTTCTAGTGGTACCTTAAGACAGTGGTTCTCAACCTTGTGTGGCTACTGTACCCCTTGCCTGACCCAACATGGTTCTGAGAAATAAATGTATGAATAATCAATATTTTAACCAATTGTCCATTATGCGAGGCATCCTCTTTATCCAACTGAAAGTGAATAAAAAAAATGTTTAACGGGCGTTCTGCATAAATGACGTAATTTGTTCGCGCTCACTGGCTACTCATGGAAATCACTTTGTTAACGGTCAATGAGTTTAAATCCATATGGATTTAAATTTTCAGTTATTTAATATTGGCACTCATACATGATTATCCACCAATGACTCTCACATATGATATAATTTCACATATTTATACATCACCTCACATACCCCCGGGGACATTGCCACGTACCCCCAGGGGTACACGTACCCCCCGATTGAGTACCACTGCTTTAAGGAACATGATAAAAGTAATTACATGGTAAAAAAAAATTCCTTTAGACAGCATGTCCACCTCTCTCCTTGGCCTAACCCAACCATTTTAAGACGCACAATTCCAAACAGGACTGAAGGCAACGCAAATGTGGGGGTGGGGGGGGGGGGCACTGACCAACGTCCTCGGAGAGCTGGGGGAAGTCGTAGATATGCTCGCACGTGTTTTTGCTGTTGGGGATGCAGAATCCAAACTCAAAATCGAAGCTCTTGAGAAGCCGCTCGCGGAAATAGTGCCGCTCGATCATGCGAAAGTTGCCCACGGCCTTGTCCCCCACGGTGAACTCCACCCTGTATATATTCACACAACGGGTGATAAAAAAAAGCAGTGCTGGAGTGAGACACGTGGACACTTAAGAAAAGATGCCTGGGTTTGAGCTTCCACAAAACTCATGCTCCACCCAAATCCACATACGCACAAACCATGGCAGACAACGTAAAACTCTCCAGTGTGTGAATGTGGGCATCCAGATCAGATTGTACAACATAATGCCACAATGCCCGATCCACAAATACGAAGAAGACTTCACAGCGATACACTCCGCTGCTCCTCACGCGGTTATCTGGCTTGACCACCTAAATGTGACATTGTATTTGTTGCGCTTCATTTAAAATGAGCCATTCGATACAAGACTAGGTGGCAATAGTGATAATAACAGCACTTTATCAATGGAAGAAGGAATCTCTACACAACATGTGACATCTATAAAATAAGTTGTTTAACCACATTTTACCATGCTGATTAGTGCCAGGTTTGTGTACACACCCATGACCAGTTCCGATATTTCTAGCCACTGATGTTAGGCGTGGCTGGGAATGTTAATCGTGCAGAGTGCTAACCAATGCACAATCGCTGCGCTGTAATCATGATATGTATGTTGAACTTCTTTCGCATCATATTGTAGTGAGTGCAACTGAGTCGCAGACGTTGTGTTGGGAGCAACACGAAATCAACGTAACTTAACACAACCTACACTTGGGTGTTGAATGCTCATCTAGCCACGCTACGGCAGAACTAGACACGGTTCGCTATCCCAAGTTGGGTCCCGGACCGAGTGGCTAGAGGCTTCTTTTACCCGACGTGGATCTTCATCACCAGCAACACGAATAACCCTGAGCCCCTCACGCCCCCCCTTATATCGGCCTGGGCTTGGGGCGGCTCCGCCCCTCGCCCCGCCCACCTTCTAGATCTCTCGAGCTCTTTCCCGAAGGCTCCCCGAGAGCTCTTTTATACCACGTGACCGCCCAGCGGCCCCCGTCCACCGGTGGCCCCCCTCCAATATCATCCGGTCACGTGTCAGCAGGTCAAGCACATAATACATGCACATAATACATGCAAAATATGATTTCGGATCGGTCCTCCCAAAATGCCTTGCATATCACAAGACATCACGTTTTACACGTACAATGCACACAGGCTTGTCTGTTACGATTCTCAACCTGGGACTTGTTGAACCCGCAGTGGCTGCGATAAGCTAAAGTAGTCATGTAATGAATCACCACCAAGTGATTCAATCGTTACCATGATTTTGGGGTCGGAATTCAATTCAAGAATCAGTTGTATTGTTTCATTTGTAAGCTTTCTTGTAAATTCGTCTCATTGCTATTGTGATGATTGCTGCATTAGCCAAAACGTATCATTTGCATAATATACATTTTAATAATCGATTCTCAGATGAACGTTTGCATTAATGTTCCGTAAGAAGTAATGTAATCTGATTAATAAAACGATACACCGTTAGTTACAAGAGAACTTTATATCAAGTCCAATGCATGTCTCGCAACGTGCCAACAGATTGTGAAAATATCTACAAACCACCACCTTTAACCACCATAACTTGAAACGTTACAAGGGTAAGAAATTCCATCCATTACTTCTGCATTTACAAATGTGAAACAATGCTCACTTTGAGACTGAAGGCTGAAAAGCATTTGGCACTCAGGTTCCACGAAATTGAAGAGCATTTATCCAAAATGCTTCATCTGCAGTGTCCATAATGTCTCAGGGTATTTATTTTAATTACGAGTGGCTATAAAATGAATGGCCGACAACTGTGAGTGCTTTCAATTGACTGAAAAATGAAAAACAAATTTCACGGCGTGTGGCTGTCCATAGCACCTGCACAATGCTTGCACTAAAATTGGAGCGAGCAGATTCTGTTTGAAGGCGACTCGCACGCCAGTTAATTCTTTGTAAAGCAAGACTGCTCACAGGAAGTGTGTACTGATTCACAAGGTTTGCAATTACTTGCATTAAAGACGTACATATATATATATCTCAAATGTTACATCATCTATTGCCAACAGTAGCCTGAAGCCCTCAACTCGTCATAAAATCAGTCGCAGGTTACACTCCAATGAACAATGATTTAAGGCCATGCAACAGTTTGCTTTGGTTGACTTAAAATAAATGTTACTAAATATAACACACGCGCTTTGTTATGCTTAAGCAAGGTCAAATACAAAAAGGCCGTTTGCAAGTAAACAAACTGGAGATGTCCATTTGGGTTTTGAGGAGTTAAAATATTTACAATACACCAGAAAATATTTTAAAATAAAACCACAGAGGGCGACAACTCAATGCCTTCTTAACGCAGCTTTCCCTTAAGCACCGTTACCGTGGCAACAGTCGCCTAGGACGCAGGCGCTGGGCCGCGTGCACGGCGGAGGAGCAGCAGATTAGAATGCGCCACCTCTAGTTAGCCAGAGCTGCTATTTATAGGCACGCCACCCACACTCACCAGTAACCACAGCAACAGCACAGCCAATGGAACACCAGGGGGCTCGGCAAAATGAAAACTGATGCTTTGTTGTCACTCTTATTCATAATCGGAGTGAACAAATGGCAAGAAGAAACAGATAATTGATTTTTTATATTATAATATGAACTTAATACAAATCCAGAATGTAAACTAAACCACGCTTAATCCTGAGATTGCTCGAAAATGTTAACGAGACGCATGCAGTGTCGATTTTTTTGAGAGTCCACAAAGGTTAATGCTGATAATTGACAACAGCTTTCCCGTCATTATCCGAAATGCCATTCTTGAATATTCTCTGACCTGCTCCAAGTAAACACGCTGTGTGACTCAGCTCAGGAACTGTCAATAATAACCAAGATTAAAAAAAGAACCACACACGCACAACTTAAGTGTCCGTGCTGTATGGAATTAGCTGCCAGACTAGAGTGAGACAACTGGCTCATCCTGCCAGAGGGTCCACGCACACCATAAGGATCTTTCACACAATTCTAGGGAGACAAATTCATCTGAAGCAGCGTTTTACACCATTCGCCTCCCCACAGGTCCGACATCATGTCAGTGCCGCTCGCGTAAGGCCGCCAAATGTTCAAGATTGAAGAGGAACAAGATCGCTGTGGAGGGAGGACACTCGGATTTATCTCCCAGGATCCGAGGCACTGGCATAAACGCTAGATGTGCAGTGTGATAATCAGAATTTATAAATGGAACGGTACGTTTTAGTGTTCATCTTAATGACAGGAGCGCGTGGCTAGTGGTCCGTGCGTGGTCCGAACAGACGTCGCCGGTTACTGTGTGCAAGCCTCGCACTATTAGCAGTCACGCAACGTCAACGCGCGAATAAATGCCTGCCCCCTTTTCCATTCCACTTGCCCCCCCCCTCCCCGTCACAACTCGCTCAACGTGTGGTGGGTGCTCTGGCTGTTGCCACGGGCTGTGGTTGCTAACGGAAACTGTCGTCATGGGTTTGTTGCTTTTCTATCCACTGAACTCGTTTGACCAAATGCAGGGCTGTGTACAGTGGAGTTGTGGGGCCTGCACAACTGGAGATGATCCGCGTGTTCTCTCATGGCCCATTTGTGCTTGCGACTGTGGAATGGCCACGCGTCGGGAACGCATCCTGCATTGTATTCCGTCAAAGCAAAAAGGGGTGTGACTCATGAGAATACGCATGTCGATTTGCCATCACTTAAGTGACAGATTCACTCGCTGCTGTGGGCGTTCTGTTCCCAACGAGGAGGCTGAGAGGCCCACGCGTATTACGGCTCTTTGCACAATCGCCGGTTCATTTACATGGCAGAACATGGCTAATGTCAGCATCAAATAAAAACAATGCACTTTAATTTTGAAGTGACACATACTACACTTTCAGTAGTTCTACTAACCACAAATCATCACCACACATGCAGACTTCTCTTTCTGGTATAAAAATGTATTAAGGTCATCATCATTCTTTATTGCATTATTAGTGCACTCGCATTTATTACCGTGCAAGAAATACAGCACTGTTAAGCCTGCAGTAAGGAAAATCCAACCATTGTGCATTTAACCGATACATCACAATGAACCAGAATAAGTATTTATTCAGGTAACATATGGAAGCCAAACCATCTACTACTTTTGATTTTTATCACATTGAACGGTCAGAAAATGAGCCGGGGTGCCCTGAGGTTGTATCACCTTCCTGTGGGTGCGTAAACAGCTACGTTGCTACAGACAAAAATAGGAAACCAAATGAACAGCACTTACGTGGCACCGACAGTCCGGAGCCGCAGGAAGGCGGGAGTGAAGTGATAACGAACAAACCGTCCGGCATTAGGGTCCACCTCCTCATCGTCATCATCATCTCGTTCTGTGGGAGACAGCAAACACTGAGTGAGCCATATCATGGCAGGGAACAGCTCAAGAGATCCACAGCACAAGACTCCTTCCTCCCCTGTGTCTTGCTCAGTGAATTTCCTTTACATATTCCAGCGGCCAGTTAATTTATGACATGCGATTTTGTTTATTTTACACTCACAGCTGGATACAGTCAAACAGGGCACTGTGCACATTTTGGCTAGCAGGTGGCAATATTAATTTTCAACCGAGATCTCCAATCTCAGTGCACGAAACTCAAAGATTATTGGAGGTGGCTGGCTCAATACCGACATGTGAATCAGCCGCTTGAGCCAATTCTTTGAGCTACTCAGTCAACTCCACACCCTCCATTTTGCCAAAGATGCAATGCGTCAAACATCACAGTATGCATGCTATGCAACCACTGTGCATGTGTGTAAGTGCACGTCTTCGCAACGTGGTGTGCTACACGCACACACCCACTAACGAATATTCGCTGTACACTGAACACAAATAAACTCCAGGATTTCCAAGTCTGCTGTCAAGAGGGCCCCCCCTTACCTGCAGCAGGGGGCTTAGCAATCTCAAAAAGAACAGTCCCGGACTCCAGGTCTCTGATCTTGAACCGGGTGAAGTCGATGTTGTAAATGTTGGCATCTGGCTTGCAAAGATAATCTAGAGAAGAACAAAACACTGTAAATAAACTGAAAAATAAACAAGATAAGGCAGGCTAATAATTGACAATGTCTAGTTTCCATAGATGTGTTCCTTATATATTCCGAGAATCTATAGCTTAAACACACAAGGGCATGCTCACAAACAGCAGGAAGGCACAACTTCCATCATGCCTTGCATTTATATATAGTGATCAGCATATTGTATCTTGTACTACAATGCTCTAAAATGTACAAAAGAACAGATATTTTTGGAAGTGAGCATTCCAGTGGTACGTTTCAGGAGCTACAGAATTTTGAAACGTCCTTTAAAGAAAAAAACCCACCCCAACATTAATGATTGATATGGCCTACGGTGAAGTTAATAATTTGCTTGCAAACAGCACAGCACGCAGAAAAGTCTAAACTATCAGAACACCAGTTCATGCCACACATTTGGTGCCATGTGCAATACATAACTAAAACACTTTCATGCGGCTTGCATTGCCTTTATTGATCTAATTTGACATTGGCATTGTGCATATCCAACCTAAACAGCAGGGCAAGGTGAAGAGAATATATTGTTTAAATGAACGATTTGAATTAGCGATTACATTAGATTTTGCTTTGTCTTATCGCTACCAGGCCTCAGCCTTCTATATAAGCTATTCAGATTTCAAAGCACGACGACGAGACAAGAGCTTTCCACTGCCACTGCAAATTTTCCAACTCTTTACGCAGGCCATACAAACAACATTTAAGAACAAATCACTAGACACATCACGCGTATCACTTTGTTGAACAAAACGTTCCGCCAACACACAACATTATCAGCGATATTTGCGAAGAGCCGGATGGCCTTTTCATTATGGTGAGTGAGGCATTTGAGCGGATTATCGAGAGGGGTACGGTATGCCCTGACCAGTGGATAGGCACAAATTGGTTGTGCCAGAGAACAAATCCCTAAAGCCGCTAGATTATCTCCTGTGCGCCCTTTGAATGCACCGCGTCGAGGGACGGTGCCTGTGAACATGGGCGCTGCCGTCCGCACAATCTCTTTCAGCTTTGTGCGAAAAGGCAGGTGCCAGAGACTGAAAAATTAGAGATCGTACGTACGGCAAAAGAACAAACACTCCACCACAATAGGAGTAAACTATCCATGTGTGTGCCCTGTGTGTCATTACTCTAAGACAAAAATGGTAACATTAGTCAATCTGATTTTCTCTGCTGTATGATCACAGCATTAGCAATGTCGTGACGGGAAGAGTCACATCACAATAGACACGTGTGACGCCTCTACAGAAGCCAAATGCCTTTCTCGTGACCCAGGCACTGCAAGGTGGTGGAACAGCCAACGTTCGCTTTGGTAACCCTCTTAAGGAGGATTACTGTCTTTCCAAATCCTTTAAAGCCCAAAAGCCATAACATGCACTAAAAATATAACACGCAAACCAACAAACGGTATCTCGACTTAATTGCAAATAAAGGCTTCCGGTCATAGTTCATGATTTAGCAAAGGCAAATAGCCAAAGATACAATTCTAAAAATAAAACGGGACAGGTTTGGCAAAGGGCGATTAACATTTTAAGGCAGGTGTTAGTTAAATTGCAGCTTTTGCCAAACTGCAACTGCGTTTATATTAACACGCAGCAGAATAATGAGCATATGTCTCATGTCCTGTGCTAGTTGTCAATGACCAAGAGACCGTTACACCCTGCGTTGCATTTGGTAATTTAGCACTGCCGACTACAAATACAACACGTAATTAACATCAGCACAGATCAGCACAATAGGCAAGCCTAAAAGAAAACACCACATTTAAAGGGTTGCAGTGCACTCAGTAACGGCACACCAATTCTGTTTACGAAAGATCAGCTTTAGGATGTTCTTGATGAAAGGTGGGCCACACGCATGCCAGCGTGCGATGAGATGACACATAAGGCTTGCATTCATCTTCTTATGAAGGAAGTGGTTACATCAGAGGCTTGTTTTTATCCACTCGTGGTGGATGTTCTGCAGAACAGCCAATTGTAGAACCTGTGCACCTACACCCATCACACGAATGTGCCCTGAACACCCACGCATATGTTTACCAATGGAACTATAAAAATGTCATGAGTAAACATGTGGAAAATATGAGACATTCATTGAAGTGCGTGCAATAAAAGCAGCCTGCAATGCCAATACTTTTATTGTACAAATATTAATAGGTGCATGCAGGGCTATGTACTTTCCCATATTTATTCAGAAATCCCACACTGAACCAATGGACTCTTTTCAGGAAGGTCATGCATTGGGTTTTTATTTTAAGATGTTTTAAGCCAATCTTGATTTGAAGCTTGTGTGACTGCAGGAATCCATACTCTTTGGTTATTTCGGTAAAGTCTGGAAGACCTTGTTTCAGTAGCTTTCTCTCTCACCTGAAGACGGTCACCTGTGTTGCGATCGAAACGTCGTGATCTATTGTTTTTTCTACCTACATGACTTTACCGAAAGAACCAAAGACTATGTTTTAAGACAATTAATGAGTGTTTATACAAGTGGGAGGAAACTGCAGCACCCGGAGAAAACCCAGGCGTGCGAGGGGACAACACACTATCCATGCAGATGGAAATGGATGGCGATTGGAAAGCCAAGGTACGGCACCTGGATGCCCATGGGAAGTTTCACAACTTTTGTAACATCCACCAACCCTCGCCTCCACAATGACGGATTATAGCTGTGTGCCACCACCGCCTGGCTTGCCTACCAAGCTAAATATGTAGCTAAATCAATTATATTTAACATTTGGGTAAACATCCTGTGTTACATTTTTGCCAGAAGAATTGATACTGCATTGGATTTATAACAAGTGCACGTTTTATGATAAACTGATGAGACATTCAGCCTATGATTATTGTATGTATCAACCCCCATGCTATTCAGAGGCATGCAATAATCCAATCCATAAGTAAATGCAAATGGAAAACCAGCAAGTGCCTCACAGCAAAAAAAGCCCTTGTAGAGGACATTCAACAACACACAATACATATTAATACAGGAGCCATACCATTGGCTCAGCTCATCAGGATATGGCACAATATGGCTTCCCGTTCATAAGAGAAAAGCCATAAACCAGATTAGATTCCAAATAAACAGCGGTGGTGTTGAAATGAGGAACCAGGGCTTGGGCTATCCCGATCCCAAACCAATCTCCAGGTTGAGTAATTACGGCATTCTGCCTCTTCAACAAATCCGACAAAATATCAAGTTAATATCCAAAATTAACGATTAATCCCATTCCACAAAATTCATGTCACTTAAAACAACAAAAATGAATGACAAAATTATTACACCTATATCTGTAAATAACAATTCAAAGGTTGGGAATTTTTATCTGGGCTGTTGAGTAAAACAGATTGAACCAAAAGCTGCATGACTTAATATGTAATCCTTACAGCTCAAACAAATTGCTGCTTCAAACCAATGTATTGCCTGGATAACTCCTTGAATATTTTCTTAATGCTACCCCAATGGATTTTTTTAGTTTGGTTGACATAAGAGGCGCGGTGGTGTATCAGCCTCGGCCATCCCAACAGGACAATAGCTAGTGTCATTTGTCACCGTGTGAACAAGTACACATGAGCAATTGCGTCAACTGGCGAGAAGATGATGAATTTTGTATACAGCTTCTGTCTCCAACATTCTGGTGACTATACAGGTATTGTAATGCTTCTTAAAATTACCAGATAACCTTTAAATCCAAGCGAGGGTCAAACGGGAGCACGAGTCTCTTTTCAAGGGGGCCAATGGCGACCCGAGTTTAAAAAAGTACAAACGGTACATTCCAATTTGTAAACAAAACACGTTAATCTATCGAGACTTGGGACTGGAAACCCAGAACATGAGGAAATACTGCAAATGTTAATAATCAAGATGAAAGGAAATGATTAAATTAAAAACTAAGCCACTAAAGCAGTCTAGTAATACAAAAAACTGCAACCATTTACAAATCAACCACACGTAGCAAAACAAGTCGTGGGCAGTTCCAACACAATTTAAGTACTGTATGGGCAGAACGTAGGCGTCACACCCATACTGCATACAGTTTAATGACAGACTTTACACGTTGTCAACCTAAAAAAGACGTCTGAATGCAAGTTAAAAAATTAAACAAACGTGTCAGCACTCGAACAAGTGCGAGATGCTCACTTCTCCTGCCAGTCCAGAGCCAGTGGAAGACATTCTAAATTTAGTCTATCCAAAGGAAAGGCAATCGATATTCAAGAAGTGGTGCTCACCAGGTGGTACCGATTTTTAGCAAATATTGAGGGACTGTACCATGCACAGGCCGATGGCAAATAGGGTATCACTCAGGCCCAATAAATCCTCTTAAAATGCCCTGTGTTAACAACCGGTAACATTAATACATATACAACGGATTGGCCCTGCTGTTGTGGAGTGACTCATGCAGCCAGCTATGGCTACAGGGTTTGATGGTACATGTTGTTTATGTCGTTAATTGTGAAAATTCGGTCAGTTTCTATGATCACTGTTACATTGCTTATGGCTTTATTTTGGTGAATTCGAAAAGTTTTTTGGTTTGGCCATGTTTGTTTGTTGTAGTACGGAGTTAGACTGATGGCTTTATTCTAAGTTGTCTTGTGGTTGTTTTTGTTTGACTTGCATCCCACTGGTATTTTTTCACACATCGTTGGTGTACGGTGCTTTTTTTGGAAGACTTTGCAGTTTTTTCCCGGATTTTTCCGTTTGCGCTTAGTCACTTTAAGATGTTTTCTTGTTCATGTTTTTGGTTTTTGTTTTGTTGCGATTGCACCCGATTCAAGAGCCGAATGGCTCACAGGGCTATACCTAATAAACTGGAAACTGAAACCACGAGCCTATCGGGCTAAGCCAAAGCCACCTTGCAGTTATGAAAACCGAATGAGGAAATGTCGACGCACATATATGGATACACGTACAATGCAAGCACACAAACACATACCATCCACACACGCACTAAGTCCCTTTAATCTCCGTTTGTATACTGGTAAAACACAAACAACGCATCTCAACGGTGGCATACAATGCAGCGATGTGCATTAAATGCTACGGCTTTTGCGTTGAACGAATTAAGGTGTTGCAGCCTCCTCGTGAGTCGTCGATACGTCTCCACGACGGTGGGACTTATCGAGTCTCCCCCCGAGATTGAAAGATGCCTCTCCCTGCGTGAGGAGGCCGTGCGGCGTTTTCCTGCATCAGAACATTGCTCTCGTGGCGTGCGTGAGGCCATGTGTTTCGCGTGGACGTGCATTCCCTGCATAACGTCTCCGTGTGCTTGATTAACCACATGAGATCAGATCAGACATCCCTGCGAACGCGCAACTGCATGCGATCAAACCGAATCGGCGTGATCCGATCTGAATTCTGATCACACACGGGCTTTCCTAACCCGAGGTACACCATCTGTGTGTTGTGTCGTGTATTACTGTATACAGTGTAGTGTATTGTGCAGCGTAGGTGTACAATGTATGGTATATTGGAGTGTATTTTATCATGTAGTATCGTGTGTATTTGTATTGTACAATGTGTACAGTATGGTGTAGTGTGTGAAATGTAATTGCATATCATGGGACCTCCTTTGCCAGTACCAAAATATGATAATAGGTTTTTCCCCTCTCATTACTCTGATAGTGCATTGTCTTTGTGCTGTATGCCTTTTGGCGTCCTCTGGTCTAACACAGTTTGAGACGAGGCTCAAAAGAAAGCTGTCTCTGGTGTGGACCAATCAGTTTAAAAGACAATGCATATATTATCAGAGTATGTTTTTGGTTTGCATTCTGACCACAAGCATTGTGGTTAATGCAGACATGATTCCTTGTAAAAGGTTTCAGTTTGGTGTTTTAAAATCTTAACACCTGTTTTGTTGCCTGAAAAAAGGGGGAAAACCCCTATTATTGTAATTGCAGTGTAGTTTATCTTTAGTTTATCTTTATGGCCCCACTCATGTGAACTCTGCGTTGCTGGTTCTCTATCTCCACTCATTCCTGTCCTATCAACCACGATCGTCATAGCCTTGCTCACTACTTAGAATCACCCTCCCGGTGAGTGCAATGTATGCATTGTATTTGTAATTATGTATAGTGTAGTCCATGTAAAGTATTGTAAAATATAACACAGTTTTGAGTTTCTATGTAAAGCGCAGTGTCATGCATTGTACGGTGTATACTGTATAGTGTGGGGGTTGTATGGTGTAATGTACAGTATAGTGTACGTGCGTTGTTTAACATGTGTATTGTGTGGTGTAGGTGTACCTTATGGGTATAGTGTGGTGTAAGTAATGGACATCTGCGAAAGCACCTTGGGTAAAGGCACTATATAAATATAAGACAAGATAAAATAAGCTTCGTAGCTCATCGGATTCATTCAGTCTAAATGAAGATTCTGATTCTAAAGATTCTGGATACGGTCGTGTACGCTTAGAGCGAAACGTGTGTGTGTGTGCTGTGCAGTGAATGTGTAGTGCGTGGTGTTACCCTGGGTATGGATCGGAGCCGTGATAAAGACATCTTCCTGTGGGCACAGCTGTGCGTTTAAGCTGCACAAACTCTACGAATTTACCCACAAAAAACCCGGCCAGGTTCGAAGTGAGATTGACGAATATTAGTATCGCTTGATAATGTGCTGTATATGAAACATTGCCACACTGGACAAGTATAATGCTTTACAATCGTAAAACATTATCAGTATCAATATATTTCCCTTTACATTTCATTACATTTGCAACAGCTGTACAACCCCAACAGAAAATCCACGATTACTGTAACAGTGCCATAAACTGTAAAACAAAAATCAACAAACGTAAATTAAAAGTGTCATTTCTAGGCCCTTTAAATTTTGCAGCTTGAGACGCTGAATGCACTCATCCCTCCAACATGAGGCGCTAAAACTTCACCCCCATCTTCCTGCTTTAGTAGATGAATGCACCACTCATCTCCCAGCATCGTACTAATGTAGTCATCTCCCAGCAAGGCGAAATGAAGCAACTCTCCTCCCTGCTTAACACAACTATTCATCTCCCTGCACTGGAAGATACTACACCACTTACCCCTCCTGCATAACACTCCCTGCAGTACTAGGGAACACACAGTCGCTTCCTGCATAAACAGACAGATGTTAAGGTCCCAACCCCATTTCCGATTAGCGCAGTTGACTACGTACAAGTAACTCATCTCCCAGCATAACACATCATCATCATGCTTAATTCCCTTGCATTAGACGATAAAGTCGGTTGACTACGTACGGTGCGATAGAAGTTAACTCATCTCCCTGCGTAACACATCATCATCATGCATTGGACGATAAATTCCGCCCATCTCGATGAGCAATTCTACGGATCTCCGGGCGCACAGCCCCAGAGCTACCCCCGTGTCGCCGCGTCCCTCACTGCGAGTGCAGCGGCCGAGCTTCTTGACGTCGTCGGGGCTCACGACGCCGTCCCGCCGGGAGAGAAGCAGCTGCTCCTCTTCGTCAGCAGCCGTCGCTCGCCTTCCTCCTCCCGCCACCTTGAGACGAAGCGCATCGCCGCCGCCTCCTCCTCCTCCTGCCGCCGCCGCCGCCTTCGTCTCGGCGCCGTTGGCTGTGGCGGCGGCGCCGCGAGACTTCCCGTTCGGCTTGCTCATCGCTGCCCTAGTCGGGCCCGCACTTGCAGCTGTGGCTAGCGAGTAACTTGCCGATGCGGACAAAGATAAATACAATGTAACCTCCTCACGTCCTCAACGCTGTGTAGACGTCGTTCAATGGCAATGTTGGTGGTTTGATTTCGACTTCGGAATTGTTTCTCCCTCACGGTACGAGGCTATCGACGGGTGAGTGTTCACGGGTTTCTTTACTCGTTTAAATCGCGATAACGTTGTTGTTGTTTTTAATAATCGCACGATGTATCCACCGGCCCACCACAAACACGCGTTATAAGACTCAATTCGTTGCGGCCTTGGTGGACGGCGGCGATTGTGTTTTGTATCTTTACCCCCCTCCCCCCGAAAGTCGCGTCTAACAATGGCGACCGCCGTTTATTATTTATTTATTTATTTTGGGCGGGAAACCGCGGCGAGGAACCGGCGGGGGGCGGGGCCACAGCGCGCGCAGCCAATGACGACGCGCGCAGCGCCCTCGCCGCGCTATAAATAGCGTGGGGGGAGGAGCGAAGTTGAGTGACGTCACGAAATGAAGGGTTGGACAGCCATCTTGGGTAGGGAGGTTTTCACGGCATGAGGCTTCCGCGACCGATACTCTTCGGTTTTTTCGGTAAAGTCACGTAGGTAAAAATAAATAATAAATACTTAATCATACCATTTTTTTTATTTTTTACCTACTTGACTTTACCGAAAAATCCTAAGAGTATGAATCCTTGCAGTCACGAAAGCTTAAAATCTAGAATTACGCGACCGATATTCGTGCGTTTTTATATATTTTGTTTTGAGGTTTTAGATCGCGTCAATATGAATGTGTCGTGAAACTCGCCGTCACCACCAGAAACACAGCCGATCAGGACGGGTTTGTCACGTAAACGAAACGTTGCCAATCAGTCAACTACTTCAGCACACCGGTGCGCGCCGGCAAAGAGTAAAACCCACGGACCTTTTTACAAGCTTTCAATGACGTCACCCCGTTGAAACGTGAAGTACGTTTCTCCCCCTACGTAAGATGTCCGCTCATTTGCATACCGTTGCTAAGGGAGTAAGAGGGGGCGGGGCGACTGAGTTTTCCTCTTTGTTTCGTGGGGAGGGTGGGGGGGATAGCCCCGGGTGATGTGGTCACCTAGTGGGGTTGTTGTTGTGGTTGTTGGGGTTGTTGGGGTTGTGGTTGTTGTGATTGTTGTGGTTGTTGGTGGTTGTTGTTTTTGTTTCAAGGGACCGCCGTCGTGTGGTACATTTAGCTGCGGACATCTTTGGCGAGTTTAACATGTAGGCTTTCGCGACCAGTATTCATAATAGAGGTGTTTTAATGTTACATCGCGTAACTATGCGTCGTTAAACCCGCCACCACCCGACACAGCCAACTAGTAAGGGTTGTCACGTAAACAGAATGTGCCAATTCGTCACTAGTACAGTACTAGTGTATAGTGTAGTGTATAGTGTATTGTAGTGTATAGTGGAGTGTATAGTGTAGTATACTAGTACAGCACTAGTGTATAGTGTATTGTAGTGTATAGTAGTGTAGTGTACAGTGGAGTGTATTGTAGTGTATAGTGTCGTGTATAGTAGTGTAGTGTATAGTGGAGTGTATTGTAGTGTATAGTGTAGAGTTTAGTGTATAGTAGTGTAGTGTATAGTATAGTGTACTAGTACAGCACTAACCGGTGTGTTGGAGAGCCAAGCCACAACATTTACAATCAGAGTACGACGTTTCGACCGTAATTACAACTGGCTGCATGGACCCTGACGCCTGCCGCTGCTGCTGCTGTATATTTGGAGTTTGCGTGTCTCTCTCCCCGTGGTGGTCGCGTGGATTGTCCTCTGGGTCCTCCGGGGTTTCCCTCCACATTTAGAAACGAGTATTGAGATTATTTAGATTATTTTGCTGCTATGAATTTCCACGCGATGAGTCACTTTGTTGAGCTCTCATTTGTGGCCAGGGTGCTTCTGAAAAACAAATTAATACCTCAGTGGGATTTTCCTGGTAGGAGGGGGATAGATTCGTTTTCTTGGTATGTTTTTGGGTGCTTTGTTTTCATTTCCTGTACTTTGCACTACTGTTGTTATTTTGTATTGTTTTAACGTTCTGAAACCCGCCCCAACTGCACATCTGTGAAAAAGAGCTTCATAGTTTACCAAGATTCCTCCAAAAAAAATATTCTGATATAGCTCAGTGAGCCTTACCTGGTAAAATAAAAACAAAAATGTTCAATAGTTAACAAATATTAATGAGTCGTTTGTAGAATTGTGTTCTCTGAAGAAGGGCAATTGCCTAAAACGTTATCTATATATTTTTCAAGGCCACTTATTTACTAACATGTTTTGGGTCTTTTTGTTGTAAATTTTGCTTGTGCATGTGCACCACTGCCAAGGCAGCATCAACAGCAGCAAATAATTAGTTTTTCTAGACTATTATTGATTATGGATGTGATAAATGATAGAGAACTCGTTTCTAAATTTGATTTTGTAATTATCCTTAAATGCAAATCCCACTTTTACCAGCGCTTTACACAGTAATCACTTTTGATTTGAAGTTTTCATAACTGCAGGAATCCATACTCTTTGGTTCATTCGGTAAAGTCACGTAGGTAGAAAGAATAATAATAAATCACGACGTTTCGATCGCAACACAAGCAATCGTCATCAGGTGGAAAGATACAGCAGTAGAACTGCTGAACAGGAAGAGCTGCTGCAACAAGAGATTATATATAGGTTTGAGGTGGGTGTCACCCAAGGGTGAGTATGCGGGGTCAGAGATGGAAAGGAGTCCCGTCGCCGCACGCACGCACAACAGCTGCGTTAAAGGGAGAGATTGGCATGTCAATGTAAACGAGTTTAATGGTAATGTAAAGTAGTAACTCGGCGGGAGACGTCTTCACGGGTAGCACACTCTTTTTATTGACACCAAACTGTTACACGGGTGACTAACACTCACCCAGCCCCTTGGGTGACTAACACCCACTCAGCTCCACGGGTGACTAATACCCACTTAGCTACTCGGGTGACTAACACCCACTCAGCTACTCGGGTGACTAACACCCACTCAGCTACACGGGTGACTAACACCCACTTAGCTACTCGGGTGACTAACACCCACTCAGCTACTCGGGTGACTAAACACCCACTCAGCTACACGGGTGACTAACACCCACTTAGCTACTCGGGTGACTAACACCCACTCAGCTATACTGACACGGGCTCTTACGCCCCGTAGCCTTCCGGAACACACCCGGCTGGGGTGTCCGTCTCGGCTCTGGGTACCACCGTCCCGACCCACGCGGGCGTCGGACTACGGGTTCCCCAGTCTCGGCTCCGAGCCACACAGGGCCCCGGTCCCGACAAGGACAGCGGGACTAGGGGTCTCAGGCCACTACCTCCTCCACTCCGTCTTCGGTCTTCAACTGGTTAACACTGACCACGAGTGCTCTCGCGCGTCTCCCTTTATACCCCTCCTGCGGACGTCGCTGAGAGCACCCATCTTATTGACCAATCACTGCGCGCGCTGGCTACGATCCTCTTTTCCCCGATTGTATCAGCGCGCCTCACCACCGGCGTGCGCGTTCATACCACGCCCACATCGCGTGCCCAACCCCGCGCCCCGTGATCCATCACTGTCGGCGCACGTCAACACCACCACTACATCACCCCCTACCACATAGCTCGCAGCCGACCCGGCTGCTAACAAAATATACAACACCCCCTCCCCCTTATGTGTGCCCCGTAACATAACAACAAAAACATAACAACACAACATGAACACCGCTATCCGCAAAAAACCAGCAACCGCCACACCCACAGCAAGAACAATATGTACAATCCGGCGAGTGGCAACGATAATGTGTATGCAGAAGGAGTAATAAAAAAAATTTCTTTATTCTTTTTCTCTTCCTTTCTCTCCGACTCGTGCAGCGTCCCAATATGTCCGAGCGTCCCTTGAACGGGACATTTCCCCGGCAGAGGGGGGGGACACGGCGGCGAGGTCGGGTTTTGAACAAAAAAATATTTTTTTTTTTTTTCTCATGAAAAGTGTTGCGTCCTAGCCCGAGTCCGCCTTGCCGGTCCGTCGTACGGCACCAGACGCGGTTGGCCATCCGGTGACGCCGGCAGTTCAGGAAGGCATGGGCCAGGCCTCGGGGCTCTGCGCGAGCCGCGGGGTTCCGCTTCCCAACGGTCAACAGCCGTCAGGTCCGAGACACCTGGGGGTTGGTCAGGTGGAGACACGTGAGGATCAGCCTGCGACACATCCCTCCCCAAGTCGACGGACACATCACACGCCCGGTCGTCACGGCACGAAACGGGGTCACGCGGCGCCGCGTAGGGTTTCAGTCGGGAGGGGTGCACGTACCAACGGCGTCTTCCCCATTTAATCTGTATACTCTGGGGTCGTGCAACCCGCACAATTTCCACCGGTCCCCTCCATGGTCTCAACAGTTTGGGGGACGTAGCCAACGGTGCGTGTGGACAATGCAGCCAGGCCTTATCGCCCGGTTCCCAATCGTGCGTATGCACCTTCCGTCCATGCAATCGCTCGTTCGCGATCTGCCGAGACCGCGAATTCAATCTCGCAGCCTCTCGCGCTTCAGCCAATCTGGCGATATTAAACTTGATATGGTCTGCCAATTTAGATTTTGCACGTGGCTGGGAAATCCCCAGTTGGACGTCCATGGCCGGATCAGCCTCTCGCCCATACATCAGAAAAAATGGAGAAAACCCCGTCGCCGCATGAGGGGCCATTCGATAGGCCGCTAGTACCCCCGGTACCTGTAAGTCCCAATCCACCTGGTCGTCGCATACCTGTTGGCACAGCATAGACGTAATCGTCCTGTTCAGACGTTCAACCATACCGTCAGTCTGCGGGTGGTACGGGGAGGTACGTACTTTCTTTGTACCCAACAGGTCGCACACCTCGCGCAACAAAATGCTCGAAAAATGTTTTCCTTGATCCGTCAGCAAGCGTTCGGGGGCGCCTTTGTCCAAAACATAACCTTGGACAAAGGCGTCCGCCACTGCCGCAGCCGACTGGTTGGCGAGTGGCCATGCCATGGGCCAGCGGGTGAAGTACTCTACGCCAACCAGCAGGAACTTATTTCCCCGAGGTGTAACGGGAAAGGGCCCCAAGATGTCTAGCGCGACCAATTCGTTCGTGCGCGAAACCTGAATGGAATTCAGCGGTGGATTAGCCGCTATTGGTGGTGGTTTTCTTTGGGCGCACCCTACACATCCCTTAAGAATGTTCGCCACGTCGTTGCCCATCCCCGGCCAATAGTAGTCTCGCTGAATGAGGGCGAGCGTTTTGTGAAACCCCAGGTGCATGAGTCGTTCATGGGCAGCCAGGACGACCCTACCCCGCATAGCAAACGGCACCACGAGCAC